AGCACATACATACATAATGAAAAATTATACAAAATAATACAAAAGAAATGTGCAAGGGTAGGACGAAAAGCCGCAATGTTTTATTTAAAGTCCCTCCCCTTTATGTTTTACAATCTCTACAGTTTGTTGAATGAAATATAAATAACAATGAAGAAGTAATAAAAGGATAATAAACAAGCACAATGAAAATAAGAATCAAATTAACAAAATAATTATGTTTAGCATAAGCAATGAAGCAATACGGTGGGCCAAACTAGATAAGTAGGGGAGGGTACAAAAAGATGAAAATGTAACAACTCATTAGGTTTGTCAATACATATATCAAACAATATGATGAGAAAAATATAAAAACGCTGTATAGAAGGATATAATTTGAATATTAACCAGACCTAGGGAAGTGTGGGTTATTTATAAAATCAACTTTGGCGTGAGTTTAAATATTAACTTTCACTTTCCCATGTTAGGTTGACAAAATTCACCTAAAGAAATTCAAACGGCTTTCTTTGTTAACCTTGACCAATGTTTCAAAAGGCACTGGATAAAAGGTTTAGATTTTGGTAACGCTCAATAAACCATGACGTTACCTGCCCCCTGTTGATGTTATTTCTCATTCCTCAGTAACCAGTGTGACCGGATGTGGAGGTAGCCTGACTGGTCCCTCTGGGGGCCCTGTGACGTCACCCAACTACCCTAGTAACTATGGCAATTATGAAAACTGCACGTGGTTGGTCACTGTACCAGAGGGAAGCATCATTCGTCTCGCGTTCGACAGTTTCGACATTGAGTACAGTTACGACTTTCTAACCATCTACGACGGAAGCAGTGATAGTGCTCCAGTGTTACAGAGGTAATACCATAGACCCAAATTGCAGTTTACTGTGCACGTATCATAACAATAAGATCAATGGATGTGGCTTCAAATCCACATACATGTATAAGGGTATGTAGTGTTCAACCTTACTGGATATTTAGACACGATGATGATGATGATGATTTAGACACGGAGAATTTGGCATCATCATCAGCACATGCACAATAACGATTATTGCACAAAAATAGCTATTACAATTAAAGGAATTTAATAGATGTAATGGTGAGGACCAATCGTTGTTAGATATTCAAGGTACCAGTCTAAAATGTTAAACTCATTTAGGATAACGGAACGAAAGTAGGCTACAAGTCGTGAATAACACAATAACCTGTGTGATAATTTCTAAATGTCCAGGTTATCAGGTTACCAGAGATCAATCAGCCCCATTATCAGCACATCCAACACGATGTTTCTGAGGTTTACATCTGACGGAAGTGTCACCCGTCAGGGGTTCCAGTTCTCCTACACAAGTAAGGTCTTTCATTACACGTCTAACAGTCTCATGTGGGTAGATCTTACAAAAGAACAGGGTCAAAGTTAAATATGGTTCTCCTTGTGGCTGATCTTCGAACTGCATGCAATAGAACTTGCAGTGTTTGCATATTTCATCCTGTATATGCTATTGTCTTGATTTTGCGATCATTATTAGGGCAGATTAACTTTTTTTAAAGTCAGAAACAAGTGGTATGGGCTTGTTCTCTAGCAGCTTGTTATGGAACTGCTTGAGGGATTTTCAAGTTCAGAAAGAATCAATGCATTATTAAGTTAAATTGAAATTATGCAAACGAAGACTTAAATGTCATTTAGCCACCAACACATGGGACAATACAATACGCATTCTCACCTGAGCGAAGTGAGGAAAGTCGTGTAAAGTGCCTTTCCCAAGGGCATGAGATCGATGGCACGTCAGGAATCGAACTCTGGACCTCTTGATTCCAAGTCGAGCACTCTGCTACTACGCCACACGACCCCACAAAAATGCATTTGTAATGACGAAGATCTTTAATTCCAGTATTTTACATAATTAGATATTAGAGGTTACTTTCATAATCAACGATTAAATGTTGAAATGAAAAAAAATGCCAATGGGAAGGTATTTCACTTCTGAATATTTGTAATTTCAGTTGAAAAATAATGAATTCGAATGGTTAATTCTAATAACAACACCGATTCCATGATAAATTATGCAAATTAAAAAAAAATACAAAACCTTTACGTATTTCCTCGATGTAGTAGGTTTTCAAATTGTTATTTTGGTCGGTACTCAGGATTTGCACGTGTTTTATTTAAATGATTCAGCATTATCTGCAAGGGAGGACATTGACACAGTCGTCTTTCGTTTATTCAGGTCGTACACCAGACGAATGCTGGGATCCCGGTGTGCCGACCAATGGGACAAGAGATAACAACAGTAACTTTACATCAGGACAGACAGTCAGGTACACCTGTATGGCCGGGTATCATCTGTGGGGAACTGCCAATATAACCTGCCAGTCTAACTTGACATGGAGTGATGCTACACCAACTTGTGAAGGTATTAAAACACATTATTGACGTCAAGGTTGGATTGTCTGGTTTACTGTATGTTTCCATCACCTTTCCAGGCAATATTCTTATCTAATCATAAGAAAATCAGCTTTAAATCGCATGGTGTCACAGGAAGTATAGGAAAGTCATGTGTTATGTGAAGCTGTCTTACCTTAACCCTAAACAGTACACCTGGGGTCCGCGCGGACCCCAGCACTATATATTCTGTAGTATCTTTTTTGTTTCTAAAGATTTTTTTCTGAAATTCTAGGTAATTGTCACCCACAAAGTTTTTCTCAATACAGTGCAGAAAACTCCGTTTCTACCATTTATAAAAAAAATTATATCTGATTTTCTTTTGGGGTCCGCGCGGACCCTAGCCGGCTTTCGATCATAATGGATACATTGGCGTTCTTATACATTACCTTATTTCCGTTTTTATATGTTTTTAAGTTTTCATCCTATGTCTACCAAATTTTCAGAGAATGGTGTAGTAATAGAATTAAATTTTAATAACTTTGGTGTAATTATGACGTCATATGACGTCAGAGCTAATAATATAGTCCGCCATATTGGATTTTGACCAATGACGTCATCAAATTAGCATATTCTATGCATATTAAATTATTTAACTTATATTTAATTATGTAAGATGTTATTAATGTTGGAAAAGAAGTGTAATTTAATATAAAACTCAGAAAATTTTTATGTTTAAACCAAAATTACTTCTATTTTGAAAAATAGAAACCCGTTGCCATGGCAACACAAAAAAACATCAACCTACTAGTATCAAACTAATATGAACTTTTTTCCAGAGACAGTTAAGGAAAGGTCTCCAAATTTGATACTTCTAACGCAAGCCGTTTAGCCGCTCTCTGAGATCAAAGTTGGGCCTCAAAAGCCCCTTCAGTCTGAAATGGATTTAAAAATAGGGTATTTCTTCTTGTCTTCTTTTCTTCACCAAAAAATAGAAAAAGTTCAAAATGTATGATATTTGTTTGTAATGTGGACACAGAGGTTCCCACATCAGTTTGCAAAACAATTGAGCTGGTAGCATGTTAATAATTTCTAAAAATTAGCAAAAAACTGCTCTGGGGTCCGCGCGGACCCCAGGTGTACAGATTAATCAGTCCGGGAAGGTGTACTGTTGAGGGTTAATGTTATAAAAGGCCAAACAAATTTGTCACCACATTGTCTACGATTGAAAAAAAAGGGCAGTTTTCAATCTCAATGTAGAGCGCTTATATTGCTGAAGTGTGAACAATAAAAGTAAAGTGTTATAAAATGTGCTTCATGCACACAATTAGGCTAACCTTAGCTTGTCACCAAAGAAAAAAGTACCTGTTAAAATCCACAAGTTTTGCAGCAGTAGCAAGGACAGTTGTAGGTGGTAACTTTCTTTTGTGCACAATGTCACTGACGATACGTGTAAATTTACGTTAAATTCAACCAAAAGAATTAATCTCCGGGTTTATTGAGGTATAGTATTAAAAAAAAACTGTTTACGATATGATATCCTTATATAGTAGAAAACACCGTTAGTTGAATTTTAACATTATCATTAAAACAAAAACATCATATACATCCCTTTCACCAGTAAGATTATAACATAAACAACACTGTCAGTTGAATGTTAACCCTATCTAGACGGGGGTGGGAGGTGGAGGTGCTAAAAGTGCCCGCGCCAACTTTGATGTTGGATAGCGCTAATAACACCAAAATTTGTGACCTTTCCAAGAATATACCCGACAACAATTTCAAATCAGTAAGGTATGTAAAAAAAATTCCGTGTTGCCAGGGCAACGGATTTCTTCTGACAGGCATTTTTTTGCGAAATTCAGAAATTTGGGGCCAAAATCCAATTCCAAGAAGGCGGGCCATATCATTAAATCAGGTATATTCTGCCTGTGTTTTCTTCATCACTACTTCGATTTTCGTACATAAAAAGTTAATTTGAAGTTATAGTCTATTTCCATTGTATCTTAGGCTTTACCTTGAAAAAAGAGATATTCAAAATTTCAAAATTAATGATCAAAGCTGGAGGATACTTTAAATAATAAAATTATGCATGACATCATTTTATGACGTCATTGGTGTTGCTCTGGGCAACATACGTTATAGTAGACATTAATATTCTGTCATTAACACTTTTTGTTAAACACGTGTTGAACATTAAATATTTAACATTTAAAAGTCAAACGAGGATAACCTATCTAGACGGTTTTTAGGCAATGACATTACATGAATGGCGCCATAGAAACGTCATATTACGTCATAATGATATAAAAATGAGCGCCCGTCCAACGTATCCACCAAAAGCCCAGTTTAGATAGGGTTAAAAGCCGTCAGCTGGATAACTTTACAACGACAAAGCCGTTATAAACAAAACATCAGCTGAATATTAAAAGCAGTCCGCTGGATAATTTGACCCCAGCAAGACCATAACATACACAACATCGTCGGCTGAAGGGTAAAAATGTTAGCAGCATGACTATACACCAGCTGGAACATTCAAATTCTAAAGCCCCGGTCACACTGGCCGAACTTTGCCGGAGCGTTCCTTTAACGGTAGGGACGGGGGCCGAATTTCGACAACGCTCGTCACCGCGCCCAATATGTGGGGGAAAAATGAAAACACGGGCGTTGGCTTAGCGGTGCACCGCTAAAGCCGGCGTTGCTTTAGCGTTGGTTTAGCGGTAGCGAGCGTTGGTTTAGCGATGACGCGAGCGTTGGTATAGCGGCGTTCTGCGCATGCGGTTTAAGGCCCGGTCATACTGGCCGAACTTTGCTGGAGCGTTCCTTTAACGGTAGGGACGGGGTCCGAATTTCGACAACGCTCTTCACCGCTCAGACACCTCTATACCAACGCAAAACCAAAGTTCATTGCCGACATGGATCGCTGCTTGAACGCCTGACACCGTTCCAGCAACCCCGTGTCCGCTCGTAAAACGCTTGCAACCACTCCAGCGAAGTTTGTGCAACGCTTAATCGCCGCCCCGGCAACGCTGGCGAAGCAGCGGTGGTCCAGCGTTCAAGATTTCTGCGTTGGCCTAGCGGCCCCAAGCGTCCACGAACTTGCGTCTAGCGATGCCAAAGTTTGACTGGGCGTTGGTGGAGCGGGTGTGAACTTTGCCGGGGCGGAAAATTGCCCCCTCCTCACCGCTCGTAATATTTTGTGCAGCTCAAAACTTTCGGAGCGGTAGGAGGGCCCCTCCAGAAACATCAGCGGTGGCCGGGCGTACACGGCGTTGCTTTAACGGGGGCCAACTTCTGTTTAACGGTGGTGAGCGGTTTTGAGCGGTGATGAATTTTATTCACCGTTCAAGGAACGCTCCAGCAAAGTTTGGCCAGTGTGACCGGGGCTTAACACCACCTGTAACAAACCTCTAAAGTCAGACGGGCGTATTAAAGCAAATATTACATCGGCCGTAAAGTTGACGTTTACAGTTTGATTACAAATAAAAACAACATATTTTAGCAGAAACGACACATGTCCAATTAGGACGATCTATTCTTACTTAAGTCACCATGTTACATAACACGATTAACCTGTCATCTCCATGTTCGGAATTAAACATGTCCTAGATTTAAGTTTTCAACCAGGAACGGTCAATTTTAAATTTTACCAGTAATTATCTTTTTCTTCAAAAGCCAATCGTAAAAAAACAGGTCAATGACACCTTCGCCAGTAGTGTGATTTTTTTTTATTTTTTTAAATCATCGTCAAACGTCACTAATAAGCCAAAGAGTACAAGCAACATCATGCAGGCAAAATCTTTGATAGAAGCTACACATTGCGTTTACCTTTCTGCAGTAGGAAGTATCATGACGGGTCCTTCCGGAGGCCCTGTGACGTCACCGAACTATCCCAGTAACTATGGCAACAATGAAAGCGTCAGGTGGTTGATTACTGCACCAGAAGGAAGCATCATTCGTCTCACGTTCGACAGTTTCGACACTCAGGGATATAATGACATTCTGACCATCTACGATGGAGCCAGCGATGATGCTGCAGAGTTACAAAGGTGATGCACTTAGCACATATCAACACTTTCCAAATGACTCTACTTTCTGATTTTCAACTATGTACATGTGGTAATGATAATGATGGATCATTGTGTGTTAGTCTAGGCACTAGTTACAAAGCTTTAATTGATTATGGATAACAAAAACATGTAGGCCCTAACATCACAATATGTTCTGCCAAATCTTGATCGTTTATTGATTATACATGTTCAGGTTATTAGGTTACCATCAGCAAATCAGCCCTATCATCAGCACATCTAACGCGATGTTCCTGAGGTTTACATCTGACGGAAGTGTCACGCGTCAGGGGTTTAACTACTCCTACATAAGTAAGGTCTTTCATTATACTTCTTACAATAACCATTTATGCTGTTCAATATAAACTACTTTGACTGTTAAATACCTGTATGAACAATGTAACATTAGCTTAAAGAAAGTAAATTCATTACCTTACATTGTTCTTTCTTAATTATTCCAGGCAGTACTGCAGGCCATTGCTGGGATCCCGGTTTGCCTTCCAATGGGACAAGAGATAACAACAGTAACTTTACATCAGGACAGACAGTCAGGTACACCTGTATGGCCGGGTATCATCTGTGGGGAACTGCCAACATAACCTGCCAGTCTAACGGGACATGGACTGATGCTACACCAACTTGTGAAGGTAAAACAAATATCAACAGGTTTGAGAATAGAGCATTTGCTTGACAGTTTACAAGTTCGCACGTCAGGTAAATTAAAGAGCTTGGGTATGTAAAGTGTCTATGAAACCTGGACTTCTCATGTAAGAAAGTATTATTTGGTATACCAACCGAGTGGTATTGAGTATGCACGGCTTTCCTGCTACATGTACATGTATATCATTTTCATGAACTAGAATGGCCTGCTATGTACAGAAGTACTCGCAGCCGAGGCCTAAAAATAGCACTTCCTGGATACGTACTTGCTCTGTTAAGAAGTCATTGCAGGCCAAAAGAGCACATCCTGGATAGTATTACGTACTTGTTCTGTCCAGAAGTAATTGCAGGCCAAAAGAGCATATCCTGGATAGTATTACGTACTTGTTCTGTCCAGAAGTAATTGCAGGCCAAAAGAGCACATCCTGGATAGTATTACGTACTTGGTCTGTTAAGAAGTCATTGCAGGCCAAAAGAGCACATCCTGGATAGTATTACGTACTTGTTCTGTCCAGAAGTAATTGCAGGCCAAAAGAGCATATCCTGGATACGTATTTGCTCTATCCAGAGAGCCAAAAGAGCACGAAATGAAGTTTGCCACCGCTTGACCTAGAATTCTGCCGATAACTCAAAGCGCACGGAGACCCTAAAATAGTTTACTTTGTGCAAACTCTGTTGATTTTAATGTACATGTAGTCTTCTAAGATAACAGTCTTACTCGGAAGTCAGTTGATAAAGTCGGTGGTTGATAGAAAAAATCGTGACGTGTGAACACAGAATTATTGCATGGTTTTTAGGCAACATGTGTTAGCGTAAGCTGGGCACAAAATGTTTTATTCTATTACTAACAAAGAACCACCATCACCAAACTACGAATCAGCTGTCATAATCTCAGCATCGAAACAGGAAGGCACAACCGCACACCTCTGGAGCAAAGGATTTGCCAATTTTGTAGCTCAAAAAAGTAGAAGATGAAGCCCACTTTGTTATTGATTGTAGTTTATATAGTAATGAAAGAAATGATCTTTTTAGATATATTACTAGTACGTTTCCATATTTCCAACACTTGCCTAATATTGAAAAATTTATCTTTCTCATGCGCTTTGATCATTCTGTACTATACAAACCCATCTCAAATTATATTTTCAACATCACAAAGAAACGAGAAGAAGCCGAACCCCTGTTTTAGAGTAGTTTTAGAACTGTTTATACTACAAACATGTATATTACCTATTTCATCTGTTGACCTGTACTTAGCCCGATAGGGCATGGATGTACAATAAAGGTTATTACTATAACCGAGGAACAAATAAATAAATTAATACCGAGGCGACATTGACTTCGCACTAAAGCTATACGGAGGGATTTTAGCACTCATACTGAAGGCCGGCCTAGCGTAGTTGAACCAAATATGGTAACGTAAGCTTATAATTTTCAATGATAACTGTACCAATCAGCGCACATGACTGCACGGGAAACAGCACGTCCGTTAGCCGACAATGCTGGATAGAGAACGTTCTGGATACACTACTTCCCATCTCGAATATATACGGGCTCCGCACACAAGACACGTACCCGGGACTCGAAGCTTAAGGGTTTTTAAACAGTATTTTTTCTTTACATGTATGGAAGGAGACTACTGCACAAAGTTCGCCACATTACTAGTCTAGGTTACGTCACTCAGATGGCTACCTTTAAGCCGGGTGAATCACAAGACAGGAAACTTAAATACCCGCACAACCTTGATCAGGTTAAATGTCAAATCTCGCGTTTTATGCATATGTTTTGTGCATGGCATTACCATATTGTGTACAACTGCTGAATATCATGTGAACATAGAATCCGATGTAGCACTTTCCTAAGAAAGTGAATATAAAACATTTTTATCATCCTCTAAACAGCGATTTTGCTGCATTGTATTCCTTTTTTTTACACACACCTGAAGTTCTAAATATTAAATCATAACTGTATGCAGAATACTCGATCAGAGTTAAGCGTCTTAGGGACTACGACCCTCACCTACTCTTCTGTCCACCAGCAAGAGTCACGCAGTGTGTGGTACTATGGACCTTACCCTTGGAATACTCTTCCGCCAAAGAAACGACAGCTCCTTCCAAACGACAGTCTCAGGACTTTTAAACAGGTCATTAAGAACAGGACTTGATTTACGCCAAAATAGCAGTTACTCAAGCAACTGGGTATGATGTTAAAAACGTCAGACGTTTCAGCTGGGCCCACTACTGTTCTGCATACATGTATATACAAACGATCCACCCACAGTTGTAAAACGCTGCGACATTGTATTGTATGCAGACGATACAACCCCGTCAGCTACTGGCCCTAGTACCGCGGATATTCAGACCATTCTTCAGACTGAATTGACGCACATCAGCGACTGGGTTCAAGCCAACAGACTAATATTAAATGTCGACAAAACCTTAGTCCATAGTCTTTGGAAGTAGACACAAATTAAAACACAAACCAACCATACAGCTTTCAATGCACATTAAGCCGATTGAACAGGTATCACTTTGGTCTTCAACTTGGCTTATGGAACTTAACCCTTTAAAGACTGAAGAAATGTGTTTTTCTTAGAAATCAAACCCTCCTGACCATCATATTCTTTTACTTCATAACTGTGTTATTAAATCTGTTAAATTCCATAAGCATATAGGCACTTTTCTCACCTCCACCATGTCATGGGAAACTCAAATTTCAAACATGATTGCCAAGGTATCAGATCGTGTGTCCTCACTTAACAAACTGAAATTCAGATTACCACGAGCTGTACTCGACACCATTTATAAATCTTTTATTCGTCCTCTTCTCGAGTATGCTGACATTATATGGCACGGATGCACTCCACATGATTCCCAAAGGCTTGAACGTGTCCAATACGAATGTGCGCTTACAGTTTCAGGAGCAGTAAGAGGTTCTTCTTACTCTTCGCTCCTTACCGAACTTCGCTGGGAGAGACTTTCGGATCGCCGCCATGTTCATTCACTGGTTATGTTTTATAAAATTGTCCGCGGCCACACTAGCCAGTATCTTAGGGACCTGATCCCTCCCGAAATCTCTGCTTCTACTTCTTATAATCTTTGCAATAAATCCAACTTACGGCTCCCGTCTTGTACCACAACTAGATACCGTAGGTCTTTTATTCCATATGCAACGCAACACTGGAATAGTCTTGATGTAGATGTTTGTTCTCTTAATCTTTCACTTTTTACAAAATATTTAGTCAAGTTAGTACGTCCTCCCCTTTATCCGCATTTTAGTCACGGCCCCCGGTACCCCTGCTCCCTCCTTACTCGACTCCGCATTGGGACCTGCAGCTTAAATCAAAGTTTATATCAACGTAATTTAGTTCTTAGCTCTGCCTGTACCTGTGGGTCTAAATGTGAAGACATTGCACATTTCCTTTTGCACTGCCCTGTACACAACTTGCATAGAGTGACCCTTCTCAGCAACCTACAGGGCCTAGTAGGCTCTACTTTTGACTTGCGCAACTTGTCTGACCAAGCCAGTATTAATCTTTTACTGAGGGGTTCGCCCCTTTTACGTCTTGATGTTAACAAGAAAAATCTGATTCTTACTCAAACCTTTATACTTAATACCCAACGGTTTACAGTTGTCTAATGATTTATATTGCCGTTAGTCTTGTATATACGAACGCTAATTTGTTGTTTTGTCATCTTCATACTTGTAATTTGTATTTTATGTCAGGGGTGTGATTAATATTAGTTTCGGCTAGAGTTTTCACCTCTGTGTCTTGTGTCATGTCTTGTACTTTGTTGTTTCAATAAATAAATTAAAAAAGGTAGAGCAGGCGAAACTGCTAGGATTATTTTTAGACCAGCAGTTAACCTTAGCCCAACACCTTGACAAGGTTAAATCCAAAATGACAAGTGCTCTAGCAGCAATTGCTAGATCACGTGACTTTCTCACGGGTGACACGTTAAATATGGCAACTCAAACACTTGTCCTGAGTCATCTGGACTACTGCTCCTGCCTTCTATCGTCCAGTTCTCAATCTAACCTCAACGGGTTACAGATTCTACAAAATAAGGCGGCTAGGCTTGTGTTAAATGCGGAGATAACTGCAGGATCGACGAACTGCACAGTAGATTGCACTGGCCCAGCGTTAACGAAAGACTTTACACAAACACACTATCCACGTTCCACAAACTCCTGACTACTGGCAAACCTGTTACTATCTACAATAAACTACGCAGAATCAACAACACACACCAACACAACACACGACTTTCACAGGCGGGAGGCTTCAGACTACCAAAACCCAGAACTTCCTCTGCTACTAGGACACTCCTGTACAGGTGCACAGAATCCTACAACACTTTTCCTCAACACATCAAATCATCCGCACCATCAGCTTTACAAAAACACGTCAAGGACAGGTTAAAAACACAAACATACACAAACAGACCCCTGCAGCATTGGTGGTAGCATAGTAATTTTTAAAATGTAAATATATACTTGTATGTATTAATGTAAATGTAAACATATAACTTGTATCCATTGACCTCTTACATCTCTAACAATCCCTTACCTCATTACTTGGTGTATATAGAATAGGATAGGTTAAACAAGTAATTAGTTACACGTTGTTGTATTTTATGTATAGCATTAAGCAAGTGTACGTCTGTGTTATAAGTCTGTAACGCGTGTTTAAGACTCCAGGAAGAATAGTGAGTATAAGTGTATACTCACCAATGGAGATCATTCAAATAAACAAATTAGTCTGAAGGCTCCTGTTATGCAGAACAGGAGCTTACGTGTTGTCTGTCCTCGGGGCTGGGAGTGCCAAATCACAAGTGCCAGAAAGATCCACCCGTAGCCCACCTTCCCTGTTGAGGGTGGGGTTGTACATTCTTTCATATATTGCCTCTTTGACACCCCGTTCCCACCAGCGTGTTTCGCGGTCTAAGATATCCGTGGACTCGAGTTTGGAAGAGTGACCCTGGTTGTGTTGTAGGTGGTGGAAAATAGCTGAGGAGTAGCCGTTGGCACTAGGTCGGCACAGTGGCGTCGGGTGGTGTAGTGGTTAGAGCAATCGACTATGAAACGAAGAGACCCGGGTTCGATTCCGAGTCGTACCCTGGACATGTCTGAACATGCGCCCGACGTTGTGCCCTTGGGAAAGGCACTTTTCACGACTTTCCTCACTCCACCCAGGTGTGAATGGGTACCTAATTTCGATTGGGGAAAGTCGTTTTGAGGTCACCTTGTGGCGCCGAATGGCAGCCGCACAGACCCTTGCGACAGTTTCACAAAAAATAATTGTGGAACAAATATGTATATCATGTGTATTATTTGATTGTTGTAATTGTTGTGATTTGTATTGATTATTATGTGATACCCTGCATCAATTCAGCCGTATAAAGGCTGCGACTGCACGGGTACTGTTTGGACAATACAAACTATAATGTTCTTTGTTTCTTACTTTGAGCGGTCGACTTGTCTCTCCGATGTAGGTGTTGTTACAATTGGGCTCCTCACATTTGAGTCTGTAAATAACATTCGCCTTGGTACCTTTGTGAGGTCGGTCCTTAGGGTGTACCAGTCTTTGTCTGAGGGTTGAGTGAGGTTTGAAGTTAGTGGCTATGTTGAAGTTTTGGAAGATCCGTCGGAGTTTCTCAGATACTCCTTGGGCATACGGAATAGTGATGTTGACCTTGTTTTTGTTGGTCAATGGTTTGCACTTCTGGGTTTTCTTAGACTGATCCGAAGGTTTGATCGCTTTGTTGAAAGTCCAGTTTTGGTAGCCACAATTAGCTAGGGCACCTCGGAGGTGTCTATGTTCGTCCGTTTTGACTTTGTCTGAAGTGATAATGTTGTCTATCAATCAATAGTTTGTGCTTATAAACGAAAGTTACCGTCTTCCTTTACGATAGTTTTGGTGTCTAGGAAAGGGAGCATGTTGTCATGGCTTGGCTCCTGTGTGAACTTGATATTGCCATCTATCTGGTTGATGTGGTCAAATAAATCAGCAGCAACCCTCTTTTTCAATCTGCACCAAGTGTCATCTACATTATCAAAACCAGTTGGCCGGGATAGTGTCATTGAAAGTGCCGAGGGCTTTGTTTTCAAACTTCTCCATGTACAGGTTGACAACAATTGGTGAAACTGGTGATCCCATAGCACAGCCGTGCATTTGTTGGTAGAACTGTCCTTTGTAGGTAAAGTATGTGCATCCTAAGCAGAGTTCTAGTAGCTCACATACCTGGTCAACGGATAGGTTTGTTCTATCTGCAAGTGTATCGTCGGCTTCCAAGGCTTCCCTGACTACTGACACTGCTTCCTTAGGTGGTATGGAGGTGAAAAGTGAGCACACGTCATACGAAATGATGGTTTCATCATCCTCTACATAAATTTCTTTGATTTTGTTGACAAAGTCGGCACTATTCTGTACATGGTGCTGAGATTTCCCCACTAGTGGTCCCAAAATCTTGGCTAGAAAACCTGCTAACTCATAGGTGACAGAGCCTATACTGGAGACTATGGGTCGTAGAGGGACACTTCGTGGATTTTGGGAAGACCGTAGAAAGCAGGGAGTTGTTCCGTTGTGGGATTGAGTTTTAGGTAGGTAGCGAAATCCAGAACTCCTTCAGTTTGCAATTTCTTGAGGGCTGTCCTAATTTTTCCTTTAAATTTGTCAGTGGGATCCTTTATCAAGAGCGTGTAGGTGTCTGGGTCTCCAAAAATTTGTCTTCACTTTATTTGCATATCAATCAATAGCTTGTGCTTATAAACCTGCATTTCCCCTCTGGTCTTTCAGTCACTGACGAAAGCTAGTGGATACTACTAGTACCTGATACGTCTGACGTTTTCAAAATCATATCCAGTTGCTTGAGTAACTGCTTTTTGGCGTATCGTATTACCTGGATGTATAACCTTCATCGATGTAGGACTTGATTTAGTTGATGTTGAATATATTGCATTTTACTAATTGTTTAATATTATGTACTGTGTATTTTTTGTGTGTATTTTTATGTGTATCCAGGATTACCTGAAAAGCAGACCAAAATGGCCTGAGCTGTAATTAGGCCACACCAAGTAAATTTTATGGATGACGTCCGCGCGCGCATTGATTTTGGCCTGTGCCTAGAAAAAAAAAAAGAATTTCCACTTCCTGTAACTATGACCAAGGAGTCACGTCAGTGCCACAAATCGTCAGATTGACGTGAAACCCGTAACGCGAAAACAGGACAGGACGACAACTGCTTGTCCACCTGATTTATTGCTGTTTTGATGATGAATAAAAGACTTCTTGCTTGTTACACTGTGTCACCTCATTCAATTTGTGTCCTTACATTTGTCATCTCTTAGTATATTTCTAATCTAGGCATCTTGTTTTTTAGGGCCTTTCTTGTTTTTTTTCGCCCTCTCGCATTAGATTTAGGGTCTCCAAAGGACGTCATCCATAAAATTTACTTGGTGTGGCCTTACCGGTAAAACAAATAAACTGAACCTGAAATTAAAATGTGACGTTGTCTCTTGTCAGTGCTGACGCCTCCGGACAACAGAGGAACAGAGTTTGTGGTCGGCTTCCTGCAGAACTATAGAGTCAGCCAAACCGAACTCGAGCTGCTCCTCACCAGCGCGAGTTCAGAACCCGCCATAGTCACCATCACTGCCCCAGGTGCCAACTACATGGAGCAGCTGGTCGTGACTGACTCAGCTGTGCGGGTGATAACCCTGCCGATTTCCGTCATGCTCAGGGGACACGAGCGGGCTCAGAAAGGCGTCCTCGTCACCGCCGACCGCGAAATCATCCTGTACGGCGTGAACAAAGGGGACAGCACCACAGACGGTTTCCTGGGTCTTCCTGTGGACGTTCTCGGCAGAGAGTATTTTGTAGCTTCCTACACTCCTCCGTATCGGGAGTATCCGTCCGAATTCGCCATCTTCGGTGTTGAAAACGACACCTTGATCAACGTCACTTTGAAGGGTACCGTTTACCATAATGGCAGGTACCACTATTCTGGAAGCGGCATCACGTTCTCGCTAGACCGTCTGGAGGCTATACAGTTTGAGGGCCAGAACCTGTCGGACCTTACAGGTACCCACATCGTATCCGATAAGCCGGTTTCCGTCATGTCTGGCGTGCGGTGTGCAAAGGTACCAAACCAGTATGCGGCATGTGATCACCTTGTCGAGCACGTCCCGCCCGTCAACACCTGGGGACGTCGCTTCGTCACCGTCCCGCTAGCCGGGCGTCGAGCAGGGGACATCTTCCGCCTCGTGGCTGCCAGAGACGGCACCACTGTCAACGTCACTGGTGTATCGCCTCGTACGCTGGACGCAGGCGAGTTCTGGGAGCTGGATTTTTCGTCCAGCACCTACAAGTCCATCACGTCATCTCAGCCGATCATGGTACTCCAGTACAGCAAGGGGCTGAATGCGGACTACACTACTGGGGATCCCTTTATGATGTACATACCGCCAGTGGAGCAGTTTGCCACCGACTACATTTTTTCCACTGTCGACTCACTGTCCTCGGCCTTCACAAGCTACGTTAACATCGTCATAAAGACGTCACAGACGTCCGGTCTGACGTATGACGGCAACCCGCTACCTTCCAACACGATCTGGTCTCCCATCCCTGACTCTAATCTGTCCGCGACGCAGCTTTACATCGGCACTGAGGGAACACACACGATCAAGCACGAATCTGCGACTATCACATTCTCTCTAATTTACTACGGCTTCTCTCGCGCTGACTCCGTCGGTTTTCCCCTGGGTCTCCGACTGGCCAACATGCCAGGTGGATGTGACGTCACAGAACCAATAGTCGGCGACGGCGTCGACAACGACTGTGACCTACTGGTGGACGAGGAGCAACTGAACGGAATGTAAGGGTTGTGTTTCACCTTTCTGATATCACAGATTTTGTCTGAAAATTCGAATTCTAATCTTTTCATCTAACGATATCTATCAATAATGTTTTTTACACTGTGCCCTTTTCCAGTCTTATTAAACATGGCGTATCAATGAACCATTTTTTCTTTCTTTTCGGAGATTCTGTTTGTGAAAACCACATTGTCCTTTCACTAGCATAGGCTCGGGGTAAACATCGGTTATTAAACACACAAATCTATAATATCTTATTACTTGTCTTGAGACGAGTTGCAGTGTCAATCAGAAACTAGACTCAGTGGTATCAACATAAGCATCATTTGAATTCCCAGAGATGATGACAGTGACGGTCTCATTGACGAAGATTTGGCTGACACTATAACAGAGACGACTAGTCTTAGTCTAGTCGACGCAACAACAAAGACGACCACTGTATCATCCAACACGACATTGGAGTCGAACACTTCATTTAATACGACAGCAGACCTGACCACTTCACTGCTCAACACGACCACAACAACAGTCACAACAACAGAGCCGACCACAACAACAGTCACAACAACAGAGCCGACCACAACAACAGTTACAACAACAGAACCGACCACAACAGTTAAAACAACAGAGCCGACCACAACAACAGTTACAACAACAGAGCCGACCACAACAACAGTTACAACAGTGCCGACCACAACAGTCACAACAACATATCCGACCACAACAACAGTCACAACAACAGAGCCGACCACAACAACAGTCACAACAACAGAGCCGACCACCACAACAGTCACAACAACAGAGCCGACCACAACAACAGTCACAACAACAGAGCCGACCACAACAACAGTCACAACAACAACAACAGTCACAACAAGGGAGCCGACAACAGTCACAACAACAGAGCTGACTACAACAACAGTCAAACCAACAGAGCCGACCACAACAACATTGTCAATAAATATCACGACAACTCAGCTTTCAACTTCACCAGACGAAAGTGGGACGATGGCTACAACAGCTGGTATGTTTGTTTTATCAATTTTGCATCAAACTATCAGATTATTTGACTGAATTGGTGAACGATTAAAAGAGTTTGTATATATATGCATTTGGGGCGATGGAGCAACTCGAATAATTTTTGTTGGCAATGCAAATATGATACACTTCGCACAAGTTGCCGACGATAATGTCAATAGGTTAATCTTGGGTTTTCGCAAAGCAGGTGTTGGGAGGATAAAATATGACATTTTCCTAGCTAATGTCACAGAGATGGAAAAACGATTTTTCTCTCCTTGTAAGCTTATAGATAACATCCATTCTAAGATAGAATGGCTTGTTTGTCCTCTGAACTGCTTTCAACAAAGAAAGGTTTGCGACTGAACTGCTCTGTCTTAGTCACGCACAACACGTGACTCATACACGTGCAATACCAGCAAAGGCCATTTAAAGTGGATATCGCCCTCGTCTCTGCAGAGAGAAGGTTGAGTTGGAGAACAGTTTAATTGTTCCGCCATGTACATCGCGTGTATTCAAAATTTCTCCTTAGTTGCGGACTGCGGATGTCCATTGCTGCCCTCCCATACTGAGGTTAGTCTGACCGCAACGACCACTGGCTCCGTGGCCACTTACCGCTGCAAGACGGGATTTCAGTCTGCGAACGGGACCACAACGCTTACCTGTGGCAGCGATGGGGAATGGAAGGGCACACTGCTGACTTGTGAAGGTATACAATGATATATAATTCATGAAAAATTGATTTTACGGGCAGTGTTTTATATCTTTTTTTTAGCATTGTATACCTTAGACCTGATGTTAGCCTTTCTTTGTTATTATTGTTGTAATTTCTTTCTAGTACACTGTACTTTGTACATCCGTGCATTTATCCCCCCGGGAATGAACATGCATTAAAGTTTCAGTATAATGAAAAAGTTTGCACAGTTTCGCTAACAATCAAATCATAGGTATTAACTTACCGGTATATCTTTTGGTCTTAATTTTCAGCCATAACCCCCTGTATCCGATTCTGTGGGTTTGGAAGCTGTTTTGTTGATGGCGACATTCAGAAGTGTGACTGCAACACAGGATACGGATTTTTTGGTCTTTCCCAGTTTTGCCGAGGTAAGCATGTGCATTTATATACATGTACTACCTTAAGTTTAAAGCAACTTACCAGTTTGTAAAATCGTATGATTTCTTTGAATATTAGGTATTTGAAGCCAAGCATCATGCCTTTTACTTTATGTCAGTTTATCAAGTTACGTACGTTACATAATCATATTCTTCTCAGATATCAATGAATGCGAAGACGGTTTGGACTATTGCTTGGGCCGGCCAGCCTGTGTGCCTAACGCGAGGTGCATCAACTCTCCGTACGGCTCGTACACGTGCCGGTGTCCCAGTGGTTATACTGGTGACGGGAGGACATCATGTGAAGGTTTGTTACATCGTCATCATCTTACACTGCAGTAAACTTGCCGGAACGTGGATGGCAGATAAATATGAAGAGAGGAAACAAGCCAAGGGTCTGATTTAATGTTTTACTTTGATGCGGCAGTGTCTTTTGTTCCTTTTATATGTGATGTTACCACTGAATCAAAACCATTTGTACAATGATGCAAAGCTTTTTTTTCCAGTGACAATTGGATGTTATAATAGTTGGCAGTAAATTAAGCACAATCACAGCAAGGTTTATGATGTCAAAATTCTAAAATGTACGTGTGAATCTTGTTTTTTTGGGGCCCGCTTTTTTGTTTTTGCCTTATCTCATTAGATTTAAAGTCTGTGGAGGATGGCATCCATAAAGCTTGCTTACTGTAGCCTAAAGTTTCTTCAGTAATGAGGATATTTTTTATTGCTGATGAAAAACTCGTTTTATTTTCCAGATGAAGACGAGTGTTTGTCGGCTCCATGTTCCGAGTTTGCCAACTGCACCAACACAGCAGGCAGCTACACCTGTCAGTGTCTGGACGGATATGTGGGGTCTGGCACGGTTTGCACAGGTCTGCATTGAGGCCTTTTAAGAATAATTATGACCATTTTGATAATTGAGATCATGCAAGGTGAAGTGCATTAAAATGCGGTCATTAGCAGTTTAATGAAGGACTGAATCATATTTCTGCTATGTTGCTGTTCGTGAATGTTCACAAATGTACATAGTATTCATAAAACCTGTCTAATGTCAGACTCAGAACCGTTGGTATCAATAATAGCAAATTGAATGTAAGGTTTTCACATGGCTAAAATTAACATTTTTTTTTTGTTTCTTGATCTAGAAATCAACGAGTGCAGCTCCAGCCCATGTATCGGTGGAACGTGTGTGGATAGGATAAATGGGTACACCTGTACCTGTCGTGAGGGGTTTGCTGGAGAGAGGTGTGAAATAAGTGAGTGTTTTTGGTATCAAATATCTTGAACGTTTCCTACAGACAAGCAAATGCACAGCGACTTTTACTAGGTCTTCTATAACTAATCTACGAATAAAAATTCAAGTTTAAGGACAAACTAGTATGAAATGTCTTTATCAGCAATATCGTAGTTTGTTTCTTAGAACATAAAATAATTCACGATATTTTGTAAAGAAGCAGTGTATCTAAATACCTTTGACACATAACGACCATGATTATTATCAGTTACGAAAAAGGTTTTATTAACATATGACGTGCAAACAACTTTTAAAGGAATTCCATGATTATACATATCGCTGAAATAAAGCAGTATCTGTTGGATTTAGAAGTATTCAGAATTCTTTTTTTTTTCTAGATGTCAACGATTGTGAACCTCCACCCTGCCTCCACAATGGGACCTGTAGTGACAGGATCAACACCTACAGCTGTGACTGTGTGGATGGGTGGGAGGGAATCAACTGTGAAGAGGGTAAGGTATTTTTCCTGTCATTAAGCGCGATATAAACTCCAGGACTGCATTCTCCGCATTGTAGCAGCGCCACCTTGCAGCAGTATACAGTAGAGTACTGCCCTGAGGAAGCTCCAAAAGGTCACAGAAATGTTGGTTACAAAGAACTTCTGTGTACAAAGAACTTTGTTATAATCAAATACATCTTGTAACATCAGGACATTTGGAGCAATATTGTCTTACATATTTCTTTGATTCGAAAGTTACATTATTAACTTATAATGTGGTATAGGACGATAACTTCAAAGTGTGACGAGCACGATGAGAAATCACTACAATCGTAATCTTTTCAATAGCCAATTTGGCAAAATTTACGGTACAGTAATCAAGTTAATTAAGTGATCAATTAATTGTCATTACTATTTTATTCACTCTCCACTTATAATAAACTGCCTCTTACAAGAAAAGCGGACAGAAGTTCAAGACTAATGCCACCCGTAGTGATGTATGACAAGGTCATGTTATTTGTCCCCTTGTTTTTTACAGACATGAATGAGTGCACGTCTGATCCTTGTCAACGGCATGCTGACTGTGGAAACACAAACGGCTCTTTCATCTGCACCTGTAAACAGGGTTTCCATGGAGACGGATTTGAATGCACCGGTAAAATAGATACTGCATTAGGCAATGTTGATTTGATTATATGGATGACATCCTCCGGGAGCCCAAAAAACTGATGCGCGCGTGCGAATAAGAAAAAAAGTTTTGCAAAAAAAAAAGTTGTTTTCATTATGAAATCTACGTGGTCATGAGGGTTGAGCAAATGGCACAGAATATGGTTTGGCGAATAATCTAGTCTTCAAGTTCATTTCTTTACAATTTCGTCTTTTTTTTCGTTTGATTTTGGCATTCTACGACATTAATATAGTTTTTATTAATTTTTTTGTAACTTATGGTATATTTTTGCTCATTTTCAACTGTTTTGTACGATTTACAGTATGGTTGAAAACTTTTTTTTTTTGGAAACGGCCTAAAATTCATGCGCGCGTGGATGTCATCCATGTAATCAAATCAACATGGCCTTATTGACACAAACTGTTGAATACTTTTGTAGGATACAATCATAAATGAAAAAAATGTGTTTTTAAAATGTGTTACAGCTTTGTTGTGTTCCATATTTTGCTATATATTGATGTTGTAGTTATTTCGCTAAGCATTCACATTCACACAGCTGTTTGTTTTATAAGTAATTGGTGTCTCTTCTTGACTTTGTGTTCTTTGCCCCAACAGAAACTGATGAGTGTGCGTCCGATCCCTGCCAAAATGGAGGAACCTGCATAGATGGACTTAATAGATATTCGTGTGACTGTCCAAGTGAATGGCAGGGCGTTAACTGTGAAAGAGGTGAGTCATTTACATTGTACCATGTGGACACAAAACCAAGGACAATGGTAACTTTTGTATGGTTATATTGAATTCAACATTCAACAAAGAGAGTCATCGAAAATCCCCCAGTAGTATGCAAAGTATGAAAAAACAACTTATGTTTTGTGCGTGCGTGCGTACGTGTGTGTGTGTGTGTGTGTGTGTGCGTACATTTATTTCTCAATAAACTTCTTTTTTATATACAATTAAGCCCCAAAATTACTAACGCCTTTGAAAAAAATCGCTTCTTTCTTTGTAGCAATATAATACTTCATAGCTATATAATTACCATTCTTGTTGTAGCGGTCGGCATGAACATTGATTTCAAATAACAAAGTCGTGTGCATCGTTTCTGCAATATACAGTTAATAAAAAAAAGCCATATGAGGTCACATCCCCCGTGAATGAGCACACTGACAGTCTTCTTCGACGACGGAGGACTACGAAGATCTAAGAATTGCATAAATATCTGCGCAGTCGATGACATGCTCCTTTATTTGTTTGCCTGCAGATGTTGATGAGTGCCTCCGAGAAAAATGCCATCAGAACTCAGCCTGTAACAACTCACCGGGAAGCTACAGCTGCACATGCAGGGAAGGTTTCTATGGAAATGGCCTCACACATGATAAACTCGTGTGTAGAGGTAACATAAGTTATGATAATCTAATTAACATTGAGACTTTAGAATTATACAAGATATGTAAGAAAGTGCCAAAGCAGGACACCTTCATCTGCATTTTGATACCATTCAGGAATAAACATTTTGTGGACAAAATAAAAAGTTATTTTTATGCGTTTCAAAAAGAAAGAAGAAGTGGTGTTTATCAGTAGATGATAAATAGGCTGTAGTATTCCTGGAATATATAACGTACTTAGTGCTAGAATGTAACGTTTCAGTGCCAATGTTTTATATCCTCTAGACCACATATGGTCACATGTGCATTTAGCCTATCTGGGCATGAATATGCAATAAACATCATTCAATCATAATTAGCTGCGAATTGGTGCTTAGCAATATTAATATTGATCTTAGGGCAAGGGGTTTGAATCATCTCAGTTTACCTGTTAAAACGGAAAATTTTGCTGATAAAGATAGAAGGCAAAAGCAGTCATCACAGCAAATTCATAGTCATGGTGTAAAAAATGATGTTAAATGGCAAACTGTCTTTAAAAAGTTAGACAAATGCCTTTTAATAAAGTAAGTTACCATATCAGTGATATAAATATTAGAATTTGTGTTTTGTTTCAGAAACCATCCTTTTCCCTTACGGTGAAGAACAAGGGGACATGTTTCTGCCTGACACAGACGACCGTAAAGACATTTCTCTACCGTCTCTGATTGACATCAGTCTAGGGTTCCCTTTCTTTGGACAGTTCTACTACAGCCTTTATGTAAGATCACTTTTCTTCTCCTAGCCTCACACCACTTAGATCTATAGAACCTTGAGTATAAATTCCTTTGCTAAATTGTTTAGTAGATTTTTAAGTTGTTATGATTATCGCGAGTTTTGTGTGTCTCTTCCATAATTCAAACGTATTTACGGTAATCTGATTAAATTTTTTAAGAAATTATTGAAATAAAGTTCAATAGTCACTATGTTCCTTAATGAGGAATAAATATATGTAAAAATGTGTATAAATTTACTAGGACTGCAAATTATGTGAACTTTGAAGACCTTGCCTTATCTTTCCATTAAGAGAAAAATTGTTTCCACACGTCCGGCCTGAGGGCAGATTTGAGCTTCACATGAATAAAGAATAGTTCAAAGAAAAACAAAAACACATGTACATGAAAGCTAGATAGAGTTGGATATAGATATAGACATAAGGATGTCCTGACATAAGGTTGTGGCAATTATTCGATCCCTTTCTTTGCAGTTCTCCGATAACGGGTTGATAATATTCCCGCCGACGGCGCAGTCCCGTGCGCGGAGAGAACCCTACCCGAACCCCAGTCTGTTCAGGAGGAACCAGACCGTACAGGCAGGATTCCCTCCTATGGTAGCAGCGTCATGGGGAGATGTGGATCTCACAACGGACGTGGGGAAAGTCTGGTATCAGGTAAATGACAAACTTAAAAAACTCTCACTGCACAAAAGTCTATCTTTAAACACATCTTAAAGCATGCGTAAAGGTACTTGTAGGAGAAGAAACGGCACCTCTACGCATTATTTATGGTGTGTTTAAAGAATGGATTAAGTGTAGTGTCTGCAGTATTGATGTAATAATAATCGTTTCATCTTACTCTTATTATTATGATATTCTTAAGATATTGGACGTGTAAATCACTAACAAACTTAAGTTTAACCCTTTCTAGACGGGGGGGGGGGCTAAAAGTGCCCGCGCCAACTTTGATGTCACATAGCATCTGAACGGCTAGAGCTAGAATGACCAAACTTGGTGACTTTTCCTAAAATATTGTTGGCAACAATTTCCTATCATTGGAATAAGATAATGATTTTTTGTGTTGCCATCGCAACGGGTTTCTGACAGGCATTTTTTGCTAAATTTAGTAATTTTTGTTTCAACAATAGAATTTTATGGGTTTTATGTCAAGTTACTCATGGTTTCTAATATTGATAACATCCCATGTAATCTTATGTAAATTTTATCATTAAATATGCATGATTTATGCTAATTTGATGACGTCATTGGCCAAAATCCAAGATGGCGGACCATATCATTAGAACAGGTATATACAGGTTATTTTCCTTAAAATTTCATCAATACTTTCATTTCTTTTTCCCAAAAAGGGTTAAATGAAGGTCTTTAGTATGTTTACAATGTATTTTAGGCTTTATCCTGAAAAAAAAACTATTTTTGAAAATTCAACATTGATGATCCAAGATGGCGGATATCTTAAATATGTATGACGTCATTTTATGAAGTCACCGGTGTTGCTATAGGCAACATAAGACTTAGTACACCTTAGTATTCTGTCATAAACACATTTGGTAAAGTTATGTTGCATACCATTTAGTTTTCAGGGAATAGCCGATCTAGATGGTTTTGGCCAATAAAATCACATTAATGACGTCATAATGACGTCATTAATGTGATTTTACTAGTACACCATCCTCTGATAATTTGGTGGTCATACGACATACCGTTAGCGAGTTCTGAGGGGGGGGGGTCAAAGACCCCCCCCGTCAAATCTTGCTCAAAAAAGCCCGGTCTGGATAGGGTTAACGTAGATATTTATCACTATACCATAGAACTATATAGACATGCTACATGTATCAATCATAGATGACCAACATTTATCATAAATATAAACTGTTGCGAGTCAAAAGATTTTTGAAAAACAGGAAACTATTGTATGTTCACCTACCATGACTGATCCTCTCTTTTTCTACCAGGTGTATTCTGATGACAACTCAGTAGACAATGCCACACAGACAGTGTTTGACATGGTTACTACGAGGATGTACCAGTCCTTCAGCGACACGTTTGTGCCCACCTGGGTACTGGTGGTGACCTGGGACGGTGTACCCTCTGTCGAGGCAATGTACACAAAACAAAACGTAAATCTAGCACCAGCAGTCTATAGTATTTTGAGCAAATTATAGAAAACAGCCCAAATTAAAAAACGGTTAAATTGACCAAGATGTTACGAATATTTGTTTTTATTTTAAACTAAAGCATGTCTTTGAGTAAAGAAATTGATTTGTTCTCTGAGACATTAGCTTTATTTAAACGTCTAAAGAGATACTTCTTATATGAGTTGTCAGTTCGCTTTTAAGTCTTGCACACCTATATCAATGTTTTAAAATTCATGTTATAATTGCATACGCAACGAAGCCAATAACATGTTCTATCACAGAATTAGATCAATGTCATGTTTCTTCTTTTAGCCAAACACATTTCAAGCCGTCCTGGCCACCGATGGATCAGAATCCGTCGCTTTCCTGACCTATAAGGAAGACGAGATGCTGTGGACCAATGAAACCCAGGACGTTCTTCTCGGGTACAACAGCGCTAACGGTGTCAACTTCGAAAACATCCGGCTGGCAGATCCGTACAGACCCGACCGAGTCAACGGGAACACGGGGCTGAAAGGACGATGGGCGTTTAAGTTGGAGAGCGATGCCACACGGAAAACGAACTACAAGAAGCTGTGTCGTGACTGGTACAAGACAGAGCCAGACCCTTCAGAGTGGATTGTAGGAGAAGGCCTGTGTCCCTGCACGCTACTTCAAGCACTAAAGGACCAACGCTTCGCCCCTGTTACATTGTCACCCTTTAACATCTCCCTATTTCTTCTGGGCAATCAAGGTGCATAAAATGTTATTTTTACATTCAGTACTGCTTAAAGGAAGAAAAAGGAAAACATAGCATACCAGACTCTCAGACCTTAGTCACTGATTTCGTAATATAATGAGTGCGCTATGCTATTGTCAAATTAAACGTATTTGTTTGATGTTGGGCATAACACAGTCGAAAATATACTGTACAGAATGGAAACTATACAAGGTATATAGGTTTATGCTGTGTGAGGACTTTTAGGTTATGTTCATATCCTTACCCGCAAAATAAGAAGTTCACACGATGTCAATGATAGCTTGGTAATTAGTGGTTAGAGTCGTTAGACCAATGAGAGTTTGGCTGAATGCTCGTTGAATCTTCAAATTTTTATGTTAAAAAATTTCCATTTTTTTCGTTTTCGTGGAGGTAAGTGGCCTATGGTATTGTGTAGCATCTGTTTAATATATGAAGGTTATCACTGCATCTTCATGATAATTGCTTTCATTCTTAGATCAGGAAGTTTGCTTCAGTCCTCTGTTTGCCAGCCCGACTGGTTCCAGTGTAGACTGTTGTTACAAGTTCCTGGCCCTGAACACTGAGATACCCCTGGCTGGAAGTCATCACAGATATCAACGGTTCTCCCAACTGCACACTGGTAATTATAAACATTTTGTTTGACTAAACTCCAATGACGGCATAATACACTGAGGAGATTTCCTGTTTGTTTGTTTGTTTGTTGCATCAACAAGATTCTATCAAATTTGATGTATAAATCTATGACAACACTGGTGCACAAAGGAACGACACCACGAGTTCTAATTAAGGAAAGGTAAAAGCTGACATCTATTACATCGGGACTGTGATTGGCTAGTGCGCAAGTATAAACCACGTGGGCATTTCGAGTCACAAAATTTCCATTAGCAATATGTTTCCACCAATGCCGGACAGCGTTTAGATCAGCCTAAACTCCCTCAAATCTGTTTCTTGTTTTTACGTGAATTCGATAGAATTGAGCAATATACGTTGACTTGAAAATAATCGTTTTCTTTCAGACTTTGACGTGAATCCCGAGTCCTGGTGCTGTAGCCTGTCTGATGATAAAGACTTCTGTAACCTGTACTATGAAAAGAGGCCTCCAAACAGCTGTTCTTTCTACAGGCCACCACGTTTAGGTATGCCTTACAGGAGCAATTGTATTTTTATAACCAGTTTTATGATGGTGTATGGTAGCTAATATTTAAGCAATCAGAACAATTGATATTTCTTTATCATAAATCTGTTCTGTTTTCCAGAACGTTTCCTATATTAATATGTTTTCAACTTTGAATCTATACATAATTAGACATAATTTTTTCTCTGCTCTTGCTTATGTGGTATTGTTATAATTATTATTATTATCTTTGTTTCACAAGGAAGGAAGCAGACAGGATTTTACATGATATTTTAGCACGTTTACCAGGTAATGTTGATGTATGACTGTTGCCTTTTTTAGCCATAACGTGGGGAGATCCTCACATGAAGACACTAGACGGTCTCGCCTACACGTTTAACGGGTTAGGAGAGTTCACCCTTGTCAAGACGAGTGGGGCCAGTGTTGAGTTCAGGCTGCAGGGGCGCACAGAGAAAGCGATCGGTACCCAGGGAGCAGCTGAGGCTACAGTCTTCACGGCATTCGCGTCAAAACAAGATGGCTCCTCGACGGTAACTCCTATACTTGTTCATACTGGTTTACGAAGGACCCGGTCTATTACGTAGTATGATCGGTATAAAACTGAAAGCATTCTTGTTATGGTCATGCTGCCTTGTTGCGAAAAGTCTGTCTTAGATTGTTTTTGGTGTTTCTTTTGGCGAAAACATTGAGCATGTACGCAACAATTCTTTGTAAATGTTGAAACGCTAACGACACGGAAATAAAGTCTCATTCATTCATTCATTCATTCACCATTCATTCATTCATACACAGTTTTAATCTTCGTTTCATCGTTCATGAATATTTACTGACTATTCTTTTTTCACTTAGGTTGAAATGGGTATGAACAAAGACCGGACAAATATGACACTAATGGTGGATAAACGGCCCATCAACATCACTGACCTACAGCAGAACGGTAAGGTGTGAGGATGGATGTATTAGAATTAGATTGGAAAGAAAAGTAGTCCATTTGTCATTAAGCCAATGACATGTTTGGTTGTTCTTACTATTGCTATGTTTTTAATTCACATTTTAATTGAAAATGGTACAATTTGAAAAGTTCTTGTAAAATTGCTCCCCTAAAGATCATAAAAAGGAAAACAATTACCTTGGAAAGGAACAAAGTTCCAAACACATTAGAAATGCAAGATGGATAATGGAAACCATCCACAAAACCTAATCAGATGGTTAATGACAATCTGTAACAATTTCTGTGTTTCATGCAGGTGCGCAGCGTTTTGCCAATCTGACTCTTCAGTACAATTTCAACTCGAACCAGACCAGTGTGGTCGCCTCCTTCTCTTCGGGAATTACAGTGACCGTCACGCTCCAGAAACTCATGCTGAATGTACAGTTCGGAGCACCGGATTCTTTCGAGAACACTACCCGAGGCATGCTGGGTATGTTGGTTACTTTCTGGTAAATATCTATATAAAGCAGTGACCTGCTGTTTTAAAGCAGATGCAATTTTTATCAGAAAGATTTCATAACAAGCAGACAAAATATATTTGCATGTTTTTGTAATGAAAAATGTAAATTGATAACTTCGGTCCAGCAAACTGACAAAAGGACAGGTCACCTTATTGTGTCCTACGAGTTACAAGTAGAAACGAAGCTATCTAATCAATGTAGGGCTCAATTAATTGTATAGTTAGTAATGAACAGTTATGTCTATTACATTACATCCACAGGTGTTTGGAACGACAACATTTTGGACGACTTCACCTATCCTAACGGCACGGTACTGCAGGCACCAGAGGACAGAAATCTAACAGAGGAAGAAATATTTCCATGGGGATTATCATGTAAGAAACATGGTCATGGCATTTATTATGTATGTTTACACTTTTGATGCGTACGGGTAATTGTCTAGTATTAGATAACAAACAGCAGAGTATAATAAGTCTTTACTACATTTCATCTTAAGTTGACCTTTATACCAGCATGCAATATCCAATACAGTCTAAGGCACTTGGTTACATACCACGCAAAGAACTGTCATACTCCCCTTGTTTTAGCTTTACCAAAGTTGGTGTGAAATTATCTTTTGAGTATATGTGGGCAGAGTCATTTCAATACAGGGCCTTCAAGGAAAGTATTTTGTGTCTTCTGTAACAATATCAATAACAACAATAATGCAGTGTTATTTTTTCAGGGCAAATCAGACAAGACGAAAGTCTATTCACCTACGAGGATGGGAAAAACGCAACTTCCTTTGCCAAACCAAATTTCAGGCCAAAGTTTCTCAACCAACTTCTAGCTGCTGTCTCCGCCGAAAAACGAAGCAAGGCTGATGTTCTGTGTGGCACAAATGTAGAATGTCTCTTTGACTTTCTCAGCACAAACGACGCAGAAGTGGGAGAACAAACCAGATCAAGTATTGTGACTTTCGATTCAGACGCAGAGACACTGGGTTAGTCTACGGTGCACTTTTTAGATACGGTTATTCTTTTACAATTTTATAGTGGACTTCTTCAAGTTTGATACAAGCAAATGCATGTATCACTAGTCAGTTGCACTGTAAAAGAAAACTAGCATAATTTGTACGGATATAGAAATATGAATAGAAATAGAAATCCTTGTAGACACCGTATTCACTAGTGACATAATCATGTTTTTTTTTCTTGCAGCCAACTTTCCACCCAACATCACAACCAACGCCACAGTCAATGGAATAGTTGGACAGCAGGTGGAACTACAGGTCATTGCTGTTGACCCTGAGGACAATCCTTTGAGGTATTCCATTGGCAACGTCAACAACATTCCTGGGGCAACCATCAACTCCGGTATGTATGTTGTCCGATGTGTGGTAACTTTTTTTTTTCATTCAGTCGCTCTCTGACGTTTTCATGGAGATCTGTCAAACTGTCTAAACGCTTTGATGTCATCATGAAGCATCCCTTTGTATTTTCTTTTCCTTAAAACCACATCTGTGTTACCGTATTACAAAGTAGTACTTCCGTGTACAGAAGAACTGTTTTATGTCAGGAATACATATAAGTTGACAGCATATTGGCGAGTGTAAGATTGACAGGCAGGATAAAAGCAGACCGAAAGTTAAGACACAGGAAATGGCTGTGTACAGGAGGTGGCAGAAAGGTATACGTAGCAAGCTTATCATTTCATGAGGGAGACACTAATACTACAAAGTCTGAAAAACCCAACTTTTTTTTAGTTAACGGTATCCTAAGGTGGACTCCCAGAAGCCTACTACCAGTGCAACTAGAGATTATTGCCCAAGACAACAAAGGAGCCTCTTCGTCGACCTACCCCATGGTGAAACTCTGCAATTGTCAACACGGTGGAATCTGTAACTTTGTCACTGTGGACTTCACTGGAGAGATCAACCCTGTGGGACAGTTCCAGGTCTGTCTTGAAATAAGTTTAGCACGTCAAGACATTTTTTTATATTATTTACTTTATCCTTTCACCTTTCTTCTATTGTAAAGGAGAATCTTTACTTTTTATTTTTATACACATGTACAAGTATAGTACAAGTGGAACATATGCAGCGATTCTACTGTACAGAGTACATTTAACACAGTGTATGAAGAACCTATCAGTTACTCCATGAAGTACCAGATTCTGTATGATATATACCTCGTCTTGTTGTTGTTAAACAGGTTGTTTCTTGCTCGTGTCCTGAAGCCTGGACAGGAGAGTTCTGTGAGACTGATAAGAATGAATGTGAGGAGGACCCGTGTTATCCAGGAGCGGCGTGTACAGATATGGTAGCACCTAAACATGGCTTCGAATGCGGACCATGTCCCAATGGTCTGGATGGGACTGGGGAGAAGTGTTATGGTCAGTAGGACCACCTTTTTACGTTTTTCCTAAGTATAATAAACACATATTGTATTATATTAGGTCTTTATGAGTGTTGAATGTGCCGAGTCTTTTTTTTTTTGTCAAGCAGCTTAGGCCAAGGACATTACAAAGCGGTAGGAAGTCAAAGAAACGTGAATGTGCACATTACTAATATCGTGATGTCGATGATTTTACGGACTATCACCAGACCAGATAAAACAAAAATGTAGTCCCCGTCCGCAAAGCTCAACCACACTAGCCATTTGCGTTCCAAAAAAATATCCGTTGACTCTTAAATGCAATGGTGTTTGCAAGTGTCTTTCTAATATTATGTGTTTTGTTTCATTTTGCAGATATCAATGAGTGTGTGCAAGGTCAGAAATGTGAACAGCCCCATAACTGTGTGAATATCCTGGGCAGCTACACCTGTGGCTGCGACCTTGGTTACACCCTAGACAGCAATGGCCTCAACTGTACTGGTAAGCTACGGAGTTGTATCTTATCTATTTATTTATTTATTTATTTCAACTTTGCCACAAGGACAGGACAGGGGGAAAAGGCGGTGCCTTTTCGAGGCCCCCTGTCCAGATAAAAACATACATAAATCTGAAATACAACTAATAAAAATACAAATAATCACTAACAAAATTCTTAAAGGTAAGTAATAAAACAAAAACAAATGTAATAACTACGATAACATAGGTATAAATAGTACAATATAGGTAGAGACAGTAATAATAATAGTAATGATAGCAGTAGTAAAATATAAATGAGATCTAAGAACCGAGGGTGTGCCAACTGTTGATGTTTTGCTGATCAAAAGAGTTGAGAGATATCATTATATCGCAATTTAGAAATTGCACCTTTGGTAGCCAGTAGAACAATGAGGTCAAAAATACTATTTACCAGATCTTTGTGGTGAGCTGAACTTTGTTTTCACTGTAAATACATTTCATTCGTTTTTCACCGGCAGAAATACCATATTAAATTGTATATTTTTTCTCTAGATATAAATGAGTGCGACATTAGCACAGCTGATTGTGCAGTTGAGGCAACATGCACCAACACAGAGGGAAGCTTTACCTGTACCTGTGCTACCGGATATACTGGCAATGGGACCTACTGCGCAGGTGATTACTTTACCTTATACTTTTCTATAAAACATTTCCTCGATGCATGATTTGACTGTGTTTGCAAGAGACTGTTGAAAGACTGTATACGATCCAGAACCAGTGATTGTTGTCTAGAAGAAGGTGACAGACTGTCACCGAAACGTTGGATGCAAAAACGTTTACTCGGTTGTTGAATACTGAACCCTTTTACACACTCAATATGAGAAATTTATTTCATTTTGACCTTTAATAAGGTCAGAATAACTCGAATGTTGGAAATGTTGGAAACAGAAACAAGCGAATACTATGTTATTTATTGTATACATCATTTCCTTTTTATCCCTTTTCAGATGTTGATGAATGTGCGACTAGTGCCTCCTGTGATCGCAATGCAGTATGTGACAACACTGTTGGATCCTACACATGCACATGTAAGGCTGGCTATGAAGGCAGTGGACGCAGATGTGAGGGTAAGTTGTATCTACTCGTTGTTACTGTCCTTCTGAAGCTGAATGTCTTACGATGCAATTTTAGGTAGAAAGCAGGCCAGTTGTGACATGATCCAACATTATTCCTTTTGACAATCTTAATAAGAATGCCGATCAACGTTGGAATATTGTGCTAGTAAAGGTAACTTATGTTAAATATTTTGACGCTAAAGTTTAATTTTGGCGGTATTTTATAATCCCTGTGTACACTATCACACATCGCCCCTTTCTTAGTATTTCAAGAAAAGGAAAGTGAGATGTACATTAAAGGTAAAGGTAATTTAGATTTAGACTCCGTCGGAGTTGGATAACCGCTATGCTTTAGGCCTCCATGTGGGAATGAATATGCAATAAAGGACCATCTCTGTAGTATTGCTAACCAGTTGTCTCCAATTCGTCTATCTTATCCTTTAAAGACAAAGACGAGTGTGTTGATCCGGACATCTGCCACACAAATGCAAGATGTACCAACTCCATCGGCTCCTACAGCTGCAGCTGCAACTCTGGTTACCGCCGCAAGGGGGCAGTGTGCACCAACGTGGATGAATGTGAAGAGCTGCTGGACAACTGTAGCCCGGGGCAGGGGATCTGTTCAGATAACCCTGGGTCCTATAGCTGTGCGTGTAGGGGTGGATATGAAGGAGACGGGATCACATGTCAAGGTATGTTACGGTTTTGGGGTTTTCTTTTAGGTACACCTGGTGCGATTTCCCTAATGATTTAATTCTCATCCCGACTGAATTAGTGTTTTGTAAGGTAGGTTAGCCTCGTGGTATATGTTTATGGTTATATAGCTGTAGGTACCAGACGCTGTAACTTGTACACATGTTGCGCAGTAACGTTGTTGCCTAATGTACCTTGTTTAGTAAACACTGTTATACATACATGTAATATGGCCATTGCGATAGACCTTCTATCTTATACCATTTCAGATTTGTTTGTGAACAGTTCACCATTAGTGGCAACAGGACATTTACTTACTTCACCTTACCTTAGACTTTATTTTCTAAAGTGCCTGATGGCATATCGAGGAGTAAACTTCAACTTCCTTTTTTTTTTAGCTCATTGACTACAAAACCCCAGAATCATCGAATAACGGGCATTATTAGTTGATATCGAGAGTATTTTTGCAATAAAAAATATCCAATATGCAACTTTATTGCTTCGACTAAATACCAGTGCTGTAGTCATATAGTTGGCATATCATGTGTTGCCATATCACTTGGTTAGTTATACAATATACAATAATCGTGTGATGAAGACAAGATGCTTTGGTAAGTGAAATTGATACCAATATTTAGATATCTAATTTACATGACGGTGCCTCTTCAGATGTTGACGAGTGTTCAGATGCTGCTCTGAACAACTGCACTGAGAACGCGGATTGCACCAATACGGAGGGCTCTTATAACTGCCTGTGTACAGATGGGTATGAAGGGATCGGTACATTCACTTGCACTGGTAAGTTTGAAAGATTTTACTCTTAAGTCAAATTTTTAAAAGAAAGAATACTTGTGATATTTGTATTGTGTCCATGTGGTGGCGCCAATCGCCAAGAGCCTAGGCTACCGGTCAGGAGATCGAGAGGTCACGGGTTCAATTACTGGCAGGACGCCGTGTCCTTGAAAAGGGTATTTCGATCTACACTACTTTCGTCACTCCACCCAGGTGTAAAAAAATTTGTACCGACTTTAGCTGGGGAGGTTGAAGGCAATGGAAGGAGAGGGATGGGCTCCACTTCCTAATATCGTGGCTTAGTCGATAAACAACCTACTGTCTCTGCGGCCTGAATAATGTGATGGTTCTACCTTTATTGTGTCCAGTCTACCGTGTGAATTATATATACATTTTTTTTTCTTTTAATTGTCTAATATAGATATAAACGAGTGTGTGAGTGCTATAGATAACTGTGCTCAGGAGGCAACCTGCACAAACTCTCCGGGATCTTACACGTGTTCGTGTAACGCGGGATTTGTCGGGAACGGAATTCAGTGTGAAGGTAAGCAGTTTACATTTCTCTTAATGGAGGAAAACAATGAACAGTGAACAATCATCATCATCTTGAGTAGATTGCAGTTACATTCTTTTAAGCAATCGTTTCATTACTTATAATTCTCTTTCATATGAAAGAAGACATCCCATGTGGCAATACCGCTAGTGATCACCTTGTATACTTATAGTAGACACTGCTTACTTATACGTTTCATTGAAAAACAGAAAGGAGTCATAGTTCCACCTGCCATTTTGCACAATATTTTTTGTAATACATAAGAAAATGTAGATAACCCTGCATATCATATGAAGCTAGATTGATTACTATGAATGATACAACAGAGATGATTTGTTGGTTAATTGGTAAACTAGTACATATAATTACATTTCGTTGCCGCAGATATTGATGAATGTGTAAGGGGAGAAGCTGACTGTGACATCGACACAAAAGCCGTCTGTACCAACCTGATTGGAGGCTACAGTTGTACATGTTATAATGGTTACGAAGGAGACGGTAGGCACTGTACAGGTAGGAACACACCAATCTTTCATCATTGGTCGCTCGAGTATAATTCAATGCCTTATGTAGCTTGTGTGTTGTGGCAGCGACAGAAAAAGATGTAATATTACAAAAAAAAATGAATTGACAAAGCCGTGTTAAAAAGGGTTAAAAGGATTGTTAAGAAAATAAAAACTATGGCCGTTTTTTTAAGAATCAGTGAGGAGGAACTGATGGGCATATCTCATTCTCCACAGATGTGAATGAGTGTATGACTGTCAACGGTAAATGCTCTATGAACTGCTCCAACACTGATGGAAGTTATACCTGTAGCTGTGAGGATGGATACAGGCTAGCGGTCGATGGTTTCAAGTGTGATGGTAAAAACATATGTTTGTACATTTTACCCTTTTACCATTTGATTGAACACGTAGATCAATGACATCCGAAATGATTTTGCGATTGTTTTAAATGCAAAATTAAAATAACATTCAGCACTTTACTTTATATTCAGATTAATTCAATTGCAAGCACGGTATCAAATTTGGCAACTTGACAAGTTGACAAATTTGATACTGTGATACTTTTCGACCTCCTTCACTATTCCTATGCAAAATTAGCTTTATCTAGCATTATTTTGGCGTTCTGTTTAACCATCTATCATTATGATTTGTTGTCTGGACAACCATTTTTCTTCCATCGCAATATTTGTTCTTCAAGATCTCTACCTATTCACTTTGCCTCAGCTTTTTCGATTGGCCTTTCTTTCGACTCCTTATTACTTTGATAAGGTTATGTACTATCATTTTAAGGTTTTGTCCCAAAAATATTGCCAAACCACCAATAGGCAATATGTTTTTTTCTGGGTAAATGAATTAACAACAGCGACGTATTGCTATAGATATTGACGAGTGTGCAGAACAGCTGGATGACTGTGAACAAGCCTGTACAAACACAGACGGCGGGTTTAACTGCTCGTGCGTCCCGGGATTCATTCAAGTCGGGGATTCCTGTGAAGGTAACGAACTTTTTCACTTTTTCTTTGACATTCAGCCTGCTAAGGTAGCTTTTTGGTAAAATGGGTAGATTAGTGGATTAGCAAAAAAAGCATTATATGTTTTCGGGTCATATATATTATTGTATTAGTTCTCCGAGTGCTTTGTATGGTTGTATGGTTGAAATGTATGTATGGTAAACGCTCCAAGTAGCATCTGCATCCACTACTGACCAACCTTAGCGGATGCTACTTGAAACGTTTGGCAGTTTTCACAAATTTTGCAATTACTTAAATAAAAAGTTTCTGTAAAAGAAAGATTCAACAAATTTTTCTTTTCAGCCTCTGTAAATTGCACCAGAACCGTCTGCACAAATGCGGATTGCTTTGTGGAGAATGGAATCGAGAGTTGCCTGTGTTTTTCTGGCTACAACTTCACCTACAATGCCACAGTTTGCACTGGTAAGCCTGATGATAGCAGAGTATAACATCTTTGCTGGGCTACGAATTCATGTCAAACATTAACCAAAACAATAATTTATGTTTACTCTCATACAAAAAGAAAAAGAAGCAAGCCCTCAAGTGTACAGTTAGTAGATGTGATTAGCAATGTTAATGTGACTATTTACTAGATTTGATTCGAATGATCATGATGATGGCAAATTTTGATTGGAAAATGATTTAGTATTAGAAAATTATACTGAGGTACATGAAGTGAAATTGTATTACAGACATCAACGAATGTTCAAGTGACACCCTGAATGCCTGCGACCAGTTGTGTAACAACACAAACGGAGGTTACACGTGTGGTTGCGACAGTGGCTACATGATTGGTACTGATGGTCGAGCATGCACTGGTGAGATATCATACTTGTATTTGTTTTCTCCAACATGCAGCTGACAATAACAGGGAGATTGATTTTTTATCTGTTTTACTGCGTGTTTTCAATGTTAGTCGTATAAAAGTTAACTACATTTTCCATATCAATAATCTTTTTCAAGGTTTAGGAGAGGTTTCTGTCTCTGATTTTTTGGCATGAGTATGATCCATTGTTGCCATATTCTGATTGCTCAGTTTTAAAAAAAAACGTTTTTCAACATTTTGATAGATATTGATGAGTGTTCAGAGAGCAGCCTGAACGATTGTGATCCCAATGCCTTCTGCAACAACAACCAGGGAGGGTACACCTGTAGCTGCAGACAGGGCTACATCGGCAATGGGACATCCTGTGAAGGTACGTTAACATTCTCTGAGCATTACGAGCAAACTCAAGATACCTTACTATGTACCATGACAATGGCGTCTGTCGGATGTTCTGATCCCTACTGTATCACAGATATATTGAATCCAACCAAAACGGTTCTAAAAACGTTTAAATTACAAAAATGAGGTACGGCCCCAGGCTGACTTTTTGACTTACCGATGCTCTCAAGCCCAACGAATTTAGCACAGCAAAATTCTAGAAGCACCACTTTAAAGGTAGATCATCGAATCGAACATTAAATAACTAAGTATCTCAGGAAAAATAAGTACTTGTACATCAGCATCAGATAGCAAAGATACAGTTGTGATATAACTGTTTTAAGCTTTGCATGATATAAACATTGAAGAAGATTTGATGCGCTCGGTGTTTCTATGAAAAGTAAAGGCGCACGGCTCAAATCTTGGAGTTACATCGCTCCAAAAATAAAAGCTGTCTTGGAGGCTGTTAAGTCATATAAATTGCTCAAGACGATGATGTATTTTGTTCTGTGTCAATTTTTTACGCAGATTACGATGAGTGTACATTCGGCAGTCGTATTGAGAATTGCAGTGCGAATGCTCAGTGTTTCAACTTCAACGGTGGTTTCAACTGCACCTGTCGGGACGGGTATACAGGAGACGGCTTCTTCTGTGCCGGTAAGGTCCTCTTTGCTTCCACCATTCATTTGTCACAAAGTGTACATTTTAAAATTCAAAAATAAGGTATATATGTATGATGTGAATGTATGTCATTTTGGCTTAAACATATATATAACAATTATCAAAAGATTTTCTAAAACCACAGCACGAAAACTTAGATTTACCGGAGCAGTATAGTTGGGTAATGTTTATTTTGTTTTTTCTTAATAAACACTTCTGAACTTTACAATGGCAGTAAATAAAGGTCAAGTACGATAATACCGGACTTTTAACGGTTGTAAAGGAAATTGCTGCAATTGACCTTTATTTACTACCATTGTAAAGCCAGATACTGTGTACATAGTAAACATTACCTGAGTTTACAACCTTTGGTAAATCCAATTTTTGGTGCGGTGAACATTTCAGACAATTGGTATAATTTTTGATGGTATTGTCCATAGATGTGGATGAGTGTACCGGTGATTCATCACATTGCCATGAGCAAGCAGTATGCACAAACGTCCTGGGCAGCTTTGAATGTACCTGCAAAGATGGGTACAACGGCACCGGAACAGCATGTGAAGGTACATAAAATAGATTAACCTCGTCCGGTACAAATACCAGGCGATCTTTAATGGTGTCGTTTAAAAACACCATGGGGGAATATAATGAGGGAACTCCAAGTGATTTCTCAGCAATCAGCTGTAACATTGTAACACCGCTGAATGATAACATTGAAAAAAACATTTGGTGTGATTTGGATGAATTCCCTTATCAAAGATCCATGTTATCCATGTAACGATATACACACACATGTATACACAGTATAGTATAGTATGTAAATGGTGATGCTGTACAGACAATGCCTAGCTGTAATGACTATCAATTTGCATCACTGAAGAATTTCCAGAATCCTTCTGTAAGGATTACCAACATGATGAGGATTATTATGTTTCAATGACTGACTATCTTGTGAATTTCGTTCAAGACATTGATGAATGTGAAGACGGAATTAGTCAGTGTGATGAAAATGCAACTTGCACCAACACTGCTGGCTCCTACACCTGCACATGTGATGATGGGTACATTGGTACGGGGAGAACCTGTACAGGTAAGCTCTCGTGGCTTGTGTGACCTTCACTCCCAGACCACGATTCAACTCTTTATAGTTGAAGAAAAAAGCGAATGCCTTTAGAAATCTTCTAAAAGCTTAAAGCGTTTTGTATTAAAAGTCAATTCTCTATCTTTAATCCTTACATCATCCCCACATCATATACTCTATTTGTCCATACTACTTGTATATGAGTCGTTACTTGAATGTAATTATAAAGTAACAGTGGAAACCTTGATCGTGTTAATATGTGTGATCTGTATGGAAAAGGGTAATTTTGTGTTATCTATAATATATTTTAACACGTTTTCAACATACATTCCGAATGCTCAAATTTATACATATTTTCTGCCAGATGTGGACGAGTGTTTAAGTGGGCAAAATAACTGCCATGAACAGGCATCATGTCTAAACACGGAGGGCAGCTATGTATGCTCCTGCAATACTGGTTTTACAGGCATCGGGACGTCTTGTGAAGGTAAGCTGGGGCAATTTTTCTGCCACACAGACGAATACTGTCTGTTGAATAACTTATACCAGTTAACATTTTTTCTCTTCTTTCATCAAGGCGTTTTTTTAGCTTTAAAATTCTAGAACACCTCACGTCTTCTCCATTCTTGTAAAACATTTTTCCAGGAGACTCATTACATAATGTTTCCCTTAACTTTTTTTATATTGACGTATGTCATTTCAATGTATAAACAATGAGAATTTTCTATGATGAATGTAATTTCCATTGTAATATTCTGTAGTAATTTTATCAGTCATAAGTTAAGTGGTGTCACAATAAAAATCAAAATGATGTTATCCTTATCTTTGCCGAAATACAACTGAATATACGTTTACTAATCCTTTAAAGATTAATATTTGCAAGTAAATATATCAATATTTGCAAGTAAATATATTATATAGGAACATGTTTTATTGACACAGAAGATATTGTATTTTTGATGACGCTGATGCTAATGAGTTGGTTTACCATATTTCAGATGAAGATGAATGTAAAAAAGGCACAGATACCTGCACAGAAAACTCGGTGTGTACGAACACTGTCGGTTCCTTTACTTGTCCCTGTAAGCCTGGTTACTTCGGGAGTAACTGTGTGGATGTCCATGAGTGTGAGGACGGCATTGACAACTGCCATGACCACGCAGACTGTACAAACACCCCTGGTTCCTACAGCTGCACGTGTCACTCTGGTTACTTTGGAGATGGAACGGTCTGTACAGGTGAGAGAATTTTCACAGTTTGATACAATATTTGCTTGGCATGACCTGAGAAGCTGTATGTCAGAAATTTCTGTGAATCACCAATTGGCACAATTTGTGTAGGGCACAGAGTTTAGGCAAGTATACATGATAACTAAAGATGTGTAAACTGTTTGAATTTACCCTATGTAGACCCCACCAGTATAGGCAGACTTTAATGACACTAACATGTAGTTGGTTCTGTAGTCATGGGAACAAAATGTAATTGTTGTAGGTTTTGCAATTGAGTCTAAAAGTTTCATGACTAGTGACTTCTTTATCCACATGGCAAGGTTGTTTAGTTTTAGTAGCTAAATACGTGATTTCTTTCTTGCATCAGATATTGATGAATGTGAAAACGGAACGACTCAGTGTGATGGAAACGCAACGTGCACCAACACTGTCGGCTCCTATACCTGTACATGCAATACTGGGTATACAGGCACAGGGAGAACATGTACGGGTAAGTAATAATCCTTGTTTTATCATCATATCATATCATAACTGATTCCTTCGTTGGTACATTTACATGCACATACTTCCAGCTTAGCCCCCGGTTATCTACTCAATACATGCATTTGCAACAACCAAATACACAACTATCACACTAGACAATCACAGTTATTACACAGATCCAACTACACATCTAAAGCAGGCCAACGTACATTTGCATATAGAGCGGCAGTAACTTACAATTCACTAAACACTTACACAAAACAAGCACCCACCCTTAAATCATTTAAAGAGAGACTGAAATATGACAAGTACTGACCTTCTGACACTTCACTCCTTTCAAACAATGACCGATTATGATTTAAGTATTTTTTTTGTTATTTACTTGATTTGTATATATGTTTTTTTACTACTATGTTCAAGTACTTTATTGCTTATGATCTACTATTCCTAAGTTGGTATTATTTGAACTTGACCTCTGATATCTCACCTTCGACTGTATTTTAATTCATGATTTCACTGCTATATTCAATTTTTATCATTTTATATTGCTTTAATTCCTGTATGGGCTCCCTATGAAATCAGTCCCAAGGGGACTGAAGGGACCACCCATGTGTCTTGAAGATTAATAAATAAATAAATAAATGTGCAACAACTACTGGGAGACGAGTACAACCAACTGACAGAGATCTCGAAGTAGATCGCCAACCTTGCTCGCGACAAGGGGCAGTGGAGGGATCTAGCAGCCGACCGATTATGATAAACAAAGACGGTTTCTGGAACATTGAGTCTGTTACAGACATTGTTGGTTTATACATTAGCAAAGTTATTTTCTCACAACCATTTTGTCAACGTGTGCCGAACTTTGGATGCCCGTCTGTCATTTTCTAATATGAAAAATTTACTTACTTATTTTACTTTGGCCGAGCTCCCGCTAGAACTAATCCCGAAGGCACTTGCCATCCCTTTCTGTCTATCATCATGGACCGGAGCTCCCTCACCTCAGTAAGGCCGGCATCTGGCTTGAGGTTGTCAATGTAGGTTATCCAGGGACTGCCCAGATTTCTTTAGTCTCTTGTAGGCTCCCAAAGAACACGTTTGGAAGCCACAGTATCGGGATGTCTGACACAGCGCGCGGCCAGCTTCATCCTGCAAGTTTTGTTGACAAATTTACCCAACTTTTTTTCTAGATGTTGATGAGTGTGCAACACAGTCTGCCAACTGCGATGACAACGCAAACTGTACGAACACTCCCGGCTCCTACAGCTGCATGTGTAATTCTGGTTACACTGGAAATGGTACTGTCTGTACGGGTGAGAAAAGATTCCAACGTCTTAATAAAATATTTGACAATGACTGTGAATGTATAAGAAAATATGTATTGCATGATTTGTCATTTTAAGTACATTCTTATCTACTTGTTCATTTTCTATTAGGCCATAGCAAGTAATTTCTACGGATGACATCAGAGCACGCATTTATTTTCGCCTGACTTTGGAAAATAAAAGCCCCGTGACAGTGATTAAAATATGACCTCAGGAGACAAGAAAAGCCTTTGATGCAGTGATGTACTTCATTATTTTGTGTGATGTTCCCACTAAATCAAAACCAGGGGTTCAGTGACAATGCATGTGATAATAGTCGGCAGTAAGCTTAGCACAATATAACAAGGTTCATGAAGTAAAAATTTGTAAAATGTAGGAATCTTGTTTTTGCCCCGCCTTGTATGATTCACCTATCGCATTAGTCTACGGAGGATATCATCCATAAAATTTACTTGCTGTGGCCTTACATTTGTACTTTGCTGACGGTCAGCCGTCTCCAGCTGCCTGCGCTGACACAAGTAATGTCATGTAGCATTGCCACTAAATACGAAAACCGAATACAAAAACAATGTCAAAGTTCTGTGAATAAACATTTAACACGAATCGTACCTTAGATACATTGTAGAAAATTGCAAATATAGTAAATAAAAATAGAAAATAATATCAAAATTATTCTTAATATAAACAACAATTAAAGCAGTGACAACAGAAATCACCCGAACTCCAACAACACCAAAACCAACATCAATGGCTGTCACTCCAGAGCCGCGTAAGTTCCAAAAAATATTTCATTTTATATCATCTCCTTATTGTGTACTTCAGTTGCTTTGATTTGGTAGGAATGGTCGGTACCTTTCATTATCATAGACATTGATAAGTTTTTTTTAATTCTTAAATTCTATATTTTCACATGAAAACCACGACATCAATTCATGTTATTATTTGTTTTATGTTTTTTTCTAAGTAACTAACGGACGTCTGAATGTTGGCATTTCATAGCAAAACCACGAAAGTTTGTACCAGCCCAAATAACAATGGAGAGGGACTTTAGGGATGAATACACTGACAGGACATCAGCAGTGTATATGAAATTATCATCACAGTTGAAAACATCAGTAAGTGAACAGGATTACTTGTTTGTGTGTCCAGCATACAACTTTCCACAAACTCTTTCAATCTGTATTGCATGTTGATTTCGTGGTACTAAATGTCGTCATATAATCGTAACGCTCTGAATTAAGGTGGTATTGTTGGCACGGCCCATTTTCAATTTATAGGTTATTTTATATAACCATAGGTCGTTTGGTTTTGATATATTTAGTATATTCATAATAACAGGTTGATCTTTTTTCATGACCGCTAGCTCTCTGCCATCTACGCCAGAATTCCTGGGTTCATCGAGATTATCATCCTTCAATTAGTGTAAGTAGGGGCAATGTTACTTTCCATTCCATTATATTGTAGTATGCAACTTTTAATTCATAGAAATTTCAGATACTAGAAACCATGCTAACTTTAGACACCTAGACCAGTTACCAGATCCAAAACATTTCTGGGCTATTATTGCATACAGTTACTCGCATGGGATGCTATGTTGCCATTTGGCAAAGTATGTTGTTACATCTTTGTTTTTAACCTTTAGCGAGGGAAGTGTAAAGGCCCGATATGCCGCTGTTTTCGCCGTGGAAGAATCTCAACCTGACAGCATCATCCAGGATATGGCTAGGACGAACCTTCAGCAGGCGATCACTAGCGGCAGGTTTGACCCCGCGCTCCAGGTCACCAGCAGTAACAGCCTGCAGCCGATTGTACTTACGGAAGAAGGTAGGTATTAATGGTAGACACCGTGAAACACAAACAGCAGCATATGGTCACGCTTATTGACAGTTTAAGTTGTTAAAAGGAGTCACGTTTCTTTATATCTCCCCATGACATTTCTAAAAGAAAATCTCTTACGGTATGTTGACAGCACATGGGTAGGAAAGATTGACAGAAGGTCAAAGGTTCTCAGAAATTGGCAATGAGCCCGTAAAAATGGGGGGGGGATAGGGGAAGTCAGAAAAACGAGGATTGCATGCTTTCATGGTGTCTGAAATCTCCGATTTCTTATTCAATTACAATCTACTGTAGAGTTGGAGCAAGTGGTTGGAGGATTCTGCCAGGATGTGCAGTGTGGGGAGGGGGGCGTGTGTTCACGGAATGAGCCGTACCCCGGAGCTGTCATAGCGGAGTGCCAATGTCAGGAAAACTTCTGCAACACGGGGACCTGTGAGTACAACGTTCAAGAGGGACCGAAATGCACGTAAGTATCAAAACTACCCTCTTTCGGATAAAATATAATAGTCGAGTTGACTTTTACGTCCAACACAACAGATGCCTGAAAATTTGTGAATTTTTAACTGATACCAGAAAGTCATAGTTTGGTCAAAGGTTGTAATGTTTTGTTGTGTTTTGCTGTAGAGAACGGAAAGTTCGAGGCTTATTTTTTTAGGCCGAACTGTTAAATTTCTGATAGTGCAACGTTTGATGATCAATTGCCGCTTGCTACAATGTACAGCTGCCCGGCAGTAGAGGGTTCTTGGTACGGAGGGGAGCGATGTCAGATCCGTTTGACCCAAGCGGACGTGATCGGTATTGCAGCAGGTTGTTTGTGTGCGTTGCTGGTGGTCGCCCTGCTGGTGGCTGTCTGTATGGCCAAGAGGTCCAGACATTCGGCAAAAATGAAGTAACGTTAACTTGGCTTCTCCGATCTGTTTTCCCGCCACGACGTACATTTCTTTAAAGCCTTTGCATATAGACTTTCTATGGGGATTGAGATTTTTTTAGATCTTTCCCTGCATATTGTATATGCCAGAAAAGCATGAATTACATAATCAAGATCAAACAAGCTGATTCCGACCTGCTCTTCTACCATGATGTAGGCATTCTTGTATCAGTCCGTATTTAGTGTTTATAGCTATGTGGCTGATTCTCTAACGACCGTTACCTTTGTTGCTGTTATTGACTGTTCATTATTACAGGGTTTACGTAAAGCGTGAACATCTATTGTAGTTACAGGATTAGCTCACCTCCCGTCACCCTACCCAACTACTACACCGCCTCAGAGTCGTGGCAACCGTTTCGTGGCCTTCCGGTCACTGACCTGAGTGAAGACCAGGACGACTACCTTTTCACCTGTGGTAAATGAACATTTTCATAAATCAAAGAGCTTCGTGAGTTAACGTTAAAAGCAGCCTCAAAGCAGCCTCCCCTCTCTCTTGATACAGAGAACTGTGAAAAGTATGTACGTATGGGCATAAACTTACAATACGTCGATGAAGGTTAGACATCCAGGTAATACGATACGCCAAAAAACAGTTACTCAAGCAACTGGATATGGTTTTGAAAACGTCAGACGTTGTACTTATAAACCTGCTTTCCCCTCTGGTCTCTCAGTCACTGACGAAAGCTAGTGGATACTAGCTGAAACGTCTGACGTTTTCAAAATCATATCCAGTTGCTTGAGTAACTGTTTTTTGGCATGAACTTACAATGTTTACAACTTTATACACACAAAACCTGATTTTTATTTTACTTGACGAAAATCAAACTTGTGTTTTTCCTTGATGTTTCTGAATTTGTGACGGTCTTATCTTCTGGTGATGTTGTCAAAGAGGATGATGATGGGAGCAGCCATGAGACTACATTGATAAACCAAACTATAAAATACAGCGGCTTCGCACTCTTGGTGTATCTTTTCGTCCCTCTGGCCTGGGAGTACTGGAGCGAGTTCCTCAGCTGCCGACCGTGCAGATCTCCCCGCGTAGGAGGAAGCCAACATCAGAAGCGAGGCGACTGTCTAACCTTTTTTTTTGCGAAGTTCAGGCAAAGATTGTGTCTGCGGTCAGAAGGAAATTCAAGTTCCAAAGTTTTCAAGGCTTCTGGGTATGAAGTGTATTGCTGTCTGTTACCAAGGCAGCAGTCCAAAATGTAACAACTATGATACTTGTTTATTTTATAATACACATGTATATTGTTTTTATTGTTTTCCGTGTTGACATCCTCGATGCCCCCTATCAAGGTGTAAGGTTATTTTAAGAAGTACTTTTGATGTTTTCCTTAGTATGTAGAATCTGATGCTGTTATGTTTCCTCCCATTGACAAGGAATCCCTGGGAACCAGAGGAGGTCCTTTCTTTAACCCAAGTGTGGAGAATATACCAACTGGAGAGGTAGGTTTTCTCATGCCTTAGTTCAGGTGGGCTAATTCAGGGACCTAGACTAAGGGACCATCGATTAAAAAATACATTTGTTTCCTATCCCTCTCATTTTCTTTAAATTATTCTTTTTCGTTCTCTCTTTGGTAGTACTTTTGTATGTTTTTATTTGCTTCGTTATCATTCTTTGACTATTCTACATTTTGAAAGTCTCTTCTCCCACTTCAGTTGAAGATCCCTCGCCCATCGGTGATGAAACCAGTTTCTCCTAAACACGATGAAGATGAAGGCTGTTTCCAGGTAGGTTATGTCATTTTACACTACAAAGTCACTACATACACACTACAAGTGGCACTATTCTTGTATTTGAAACTAACTTTGTTGACAAGTTTTCTTACATTTACTCTTTTTCATCACTGTTGTTAATTATGGTTACTTTTTTTTCTTTCAAGACCTTTGAGTTCAAGTTCTGAACATGAGAAACCGGCAGCGAGAAGCCAGTTACAAATGAACATCACGATGACTATGCATAGTTAGTCTTGCAACAAATGAAGAATTAAAAACAGCTGAGGAAACGGTAAATTTGACAAGCATAATAACACCTGTTACGTGGTGTTCCCTACACAGTCTATTTAGAAAGATTATATTTGATATCATTCTTACAGAATACGGTTACTTTTATGTATGTTTATGAATACAGCACGTTTCAAACAGCAAGGTTCCAACCATACCGGTAAAAAGAATTCGAAACTCTTTTCTCCCGCCAAGCCGTTTAAGGCAAGATGGCGGACCGAATCAATGTTACAACAACGAGGACTACTGAGTGCCGTACGGTCTGGTGAATAGGTCGGAAGATGGTAGTATTCAAATTAAACTAGATCATTCCTGCGTAGAACTGTAACCAAAGTCTTCGTGATCATTTTTTATATCGTCAGGGAAAAATTCTATCCAGGATTTCTGGAGTTACAGTCTTTATTCAGAGGTCATACCCCACAACTCTAGCCCCAGGTCATGACGGCCGATCATTCCATACCGTCGTAAGAAAACACTCACGACATGAAAACAGCTTTTAGAAGGATTGAAACGTGGCCGGGGACAGATAGCAGGGATTTCCCGGTCCCTACGTGGTACATGGTATTGGATGTGATTTAGCAAGTTTTGTTTTTGACGTTACATAAATAATTTCGTCCGTACTGAAGGATTTTGCCTGTTGCGTTAGCCAGGCTACTAGTATCTCCTTAAATATATGATATTCAAAGCTCAGCTCTATATACAAGTTATGAATGCTTTTTGTATGCGAAATTTTGTCCTGCAAGCTGTGCTGTATTTAGTTAAGTCGGGCATTCTATATGTTCTATTCGTTCGAGTCTGTGGGTACGCTCGTATATACATGTACCTTGTACAGTTTTCCACACAGGACGGACGTCCCACCCGACTATAGACTCCACTCAAGGACATTTTCTGTCTAATGTCCTTGCTCCACTGTACATGTACTTTAAAAAAGATTTTCTCATTGGAATAAAACTGTTTGTTATAGAATGAATTATACTTCGTTTGTCATTCCTGTTTTATCTTTTATTATCAGCTGTATATGATATCACACTTTACTAAGCGAAAGGTCAGCTTTTTTAAACTTTAAATGCACGTTTCTTTGATGGTCGTACTTTTTCACAACTATGAAAATATAGTACAACGTAAAGGACAAAACTGAGAACACGTACGTAAAGTTGGTAAAATGTAAAACTATGACAAACATTACGACCTAACCAATAAGTAACCACTAAAACTGACCAAGACAAAATTCATACCTGTGTAGCCTGATAAATCCGCAGCTTTACAACTAATAAAAATAAGGCTCCAAGCTTGCAAACCCGAGTCTAGTGGTACCAGTTTAGTTTAGCTGAAATCCCATTGTNTATAGAATGAATTATACTTCGTTTGTCATTCCTGTTTTATCTTTATTATCAGCTGTATATGATATCACACTTTACTAAGCGAAAGGTCAGCTTTTTAAACTTTAAATAGCACGTTTCTTTGTATGGTCGTCTTTTTCACAACTATGAAAATATGTACAACGTAAAGGACAAAACTGAGAACACGTACGTAAAGTTGGTAAAAATGTAAAACTATGACAAACATTACGACCTAACCAATAAGTAACCACTAAAACTGACCAAGACAAAATTCATACCTGTGTAGCCTGATAAATCCGCAGCTTTACAACTAATAAAAATAAGGCTCCAAGCTTGCAAACCCGAGTCTAGTGGTACCAGTTTAGTTTAGCTGAAATCCCATTGTTGTAAAGTATTAATTTTAAGTGACGAGGGCTAACTTGATATACATATGTGAGCAGGTAACTAAATCTTAACTCCTATCAGAATACGTTGGACTTTGATAAGATGAAGGTTGGAGTTTACCAAATCTACAACAGAGTCTGGAAGCAATCTCGCAAGACTCCAATCTTAGCTTTAGGCCCTCAAATATGACGTACAGCAACAACATGACAACACCCGTTGCTCCACCGGAGACAGAACAGGGATCCGAGACCTCCGCCTCTGCTGTGTATGTGGTGTGGGGAGAAGGTGATTTCCACCACCACGCGCCCAGATGAGCCTACAAACGGCAGTCCCAAAGGTTGCTCAATCGTCAACACCCGGTCGTCGTCCCAGTACCCTTGACGAGAATGAGGACCTGAGAACTGTTTCTAAACGACGACGGGGCAAAGTCATTGTAGGTACGTACATGTATTCTACCAGTTGTAGCCTGCGTTCAGCAAAACATAGAACTGTCTTTTGGAGCTCAATTTCTGCCAATTACAGACGAAAATACACCATTTACAAAAGAATCCTGTCAAAAGTGCAACATTTTCTGTTATTGACAGCGTGATCCTGTTAATAGTTATTCCATAGGCCAACTGTCACGTGCTATCATCGTCCTTTCTTCTGTGCTGTCTTTGATGCCATAGTGACTATTCATGTCACCCGTCTTTATTGTCTGCTGTTAGGACTTCCTTGACGACATGGAAATTGAAGGACGACCGATGACGTATGTAACCGGGCCCTAATAGTGACACGATGCCTCGCAACAGGCTACATAAGGCCATCTAACTATTAATTTTTATATGACTTAAAAAAAAACATATCCATAATTGATTGACAAACCGTATACAGCAGACCAAGGACTTTATTTTGAGTTTTTTTTCAAACATTCGCGGTTAAGTGCATAGTTACAGACCCACGTCAGTAAAAGACCACGCCAATCAATTCTCGTTACACTGTTACGAGCATGAAAAGGCGTTTTCATTTTTCCAGAGTAAGGCCATCTATTGTCACCTGTAGGCAATAATAATAATAATATGATATAATAAATGGTTTATTGGCCAAACATCACCCGTGTAATTGCAGCCTTATAGTGCTGAATTGATGCAGGGTTTACAATGGTACAATGATACAAATGGTAATAATACACATAATGGTACATGGTACATATTTGTTCCACATTTTTGTGGAACTGCCGTAACTGTCTGTGCGGCGCTGGCTGCCATTCGGCGCCACAAGGTGACTTCAATACGGCTTTCCCCAACCGAAGTTAGCTATAGGTACCCACTCCACCTCACACCTGGGTGGAGTGAGGAAAGTCGTGTAAAGTGCCTTTCCCAAGGACACAACGTCGGGCGCATATCGAGGCATGTCCCGGGTACGACTCGGGATCGAACCCGGGTCTCCCGGTTCACAGTGGAATAATCTACCACTACGCCACCCGAAGGCACCAGACAATATCACTAATATTTCAAATTTAATTACTTAACTTCTGCCAGGCAATGTCCCATGTCATTTGGCGTCGCCATGGTCGCAGAGCAGACTAAAAAAACTTTACCGGAACGAGGACGTGTGTCTCCCATCTATTGCTACATACACTTTGTAAATAGGATACATGTCTTGGCATTTTTGTTGTACTACAGATACAGATACTACAGATACTTTAGTTTTTTTTACTTGTGCATATGTTATACACTAAAGATGTTTGTTCTCGCTATTCACTCCTCCCCTGGTGATTGGATGACTGAAGGACGTACGTCTGATACAAACAGGAATGGGCTGGAAATGACAACAATAACAACCAATTGTGGCATAACAGTTTGGTTGTCATCATCCATATTCAGCCAGAGACAGTAGAGAGTCGGTGGTAACTACGGCGGACGGTATCCAGGCAAATATTATAAAAGTCTTGAAGCAAAATTTGACTGAGAGAAAGAGCAACAGGTTAGAATAGCCCATGAACAGTTTGTAGACGGCATAGTACTATATTTTCCCAAAATCCAATTCATGGCCAGAATTGCTTGGCCAAAAAAGTTAATTTCGACGTAGAACGGGAAAAGATAGGTTCTTGGAAACGCCATTTCATTAATGGTGAAAATAAATACCCTTTAATATTTGATGCTATGTTGCTCCGGCATTTCACCGCTTGTTTGTAACAACATCGCACATTGTACCAACTGTACCATTGTGCCCAGGTAGTTCCCTGTATTCCTCGTGACCGTTGCAAGACGAATTTTACTCTAAGATTCTGTTAGAGTGACGTAGCCTGCTTGTATGTCACCCACCAACCACGAAAAAATAGTCAGAATTCAAGTTGATCATATCGGTGACTTTTATTTGGCTTTTTGTTACGATACCCCCCTCAATTAATACTTCAATGGTTTCACCCTGATTGACAGGATAAGGACTGTCATTTTTCTGCGCTACTCCTGACTGAGTTGAGGTGTTGCTGACGTGGTTCCGCTTCTACCGAAAATATACTGTTAGGAACAGTGGGTTCGTGTTGACTCGGAACTGTATTTCCACCCATTCTTTTCTAACTGTCGGGACAACCATAATCAAACTATAAGGGCAGGCAAAGTGGTACAGTAGCGTTCGGGGAGTATTCTATGTGCCCCTTTTCTTAGTTTTCTTTTGACCTGTTTGGAAGCAAGCGAGAAAAAAACATGACAGGATTTCAACTGTGTTGTGCCGTCACGATCTGCTGCATCTTTGGCATCGCTGCACAGCCAGGTGAGTAAAAGCAACAATACTCAGAATTCCTGTTTTTTCCGAAAAGAAGTGTTATGTTTTGTTTCAGTGAGCTAGACTGGTTGTGTAGATCCCGATTACTTGGCGTCATACATATGTTTACCCTCTATTCCCAATGATTCGGACGTACATGTACTGACGCCAGATGAAAATGTAGACGTTTGATAGGTTACAGTTGGACAGTATGTCGTTTAGTATAATTCTTCAAATGGACGAAAGAAAGAGATAATAGTTCATATTTTAAACGAATTATTAGCTTTCAGAAGAGCTGGAGAAATACTCAAGGTTTAAAGGAAATAGGGGATTTTTTTTTACATAATGGCAGATTCATAGAGACCTGTTAGTCTCACCACAGAAGGCATACTGTGTTATACCTGTCACTTGTTACTCAGAACTTATTTGCTCTTTGTTTCAAAAGCCTCTGCTGGGCCTAATTTATTCATTCGATTTCTCAAGAATACCATGTCTCCATGCACGTGCTACCTGCGTCATTTCTTTTGTCCTTGTTGTCATAGTGACTACTCATGTCACTCGTCCTTATTGTTGGCATGTGTTTTTGTGACAGCCTGTTCGGAACATTTGACGACATTAGAATTGCAGGACGACCCATTGTGTATGACCAGGCCCTAACTTAGTGACGCGATAAGGCCACCAAACCATTCTATTTCATGACTTAAACAACAAATTTCTACAATGGACAATCAATTAGAAAATTGTACAACAACCTTTTCGTTCATGTTTTTGTAAGATTAAGAACGACACAGACCAGGGAAGCTATTTTTTTTTCAAAGAGTCGAGGCTATTTGCATAGTTACAGACCTACGTCAGCGGAAGACCACGCCAATCTATTCTCG